TTGCTTTTTTACCTTATAAAACTCAAGTTTAATTAAAAATTATTTCCCACCGTGAATTTATATATAATAAAAATTTTCTGAAAGCGAAAAAACCTATTCATTTAAATATGAAATTATAATGAAAATTCCCAGATTTTTATGTTTCAGTCAAATATTTATTTATAAATGAAATGAATTTATAAATGAAAAAATTTGTAAAATAGCCTCAAATTTTGCTTCTTTTAGATTTGGTAAGCGCAAAAATGAATTCATTCGCTTTGGAAAAAGAATTCAAAATAGGTAACTTATGCAATTCTATGAAAGAAAAATTATAATTGTCACACCATGTTTTTTCGCAAACAAATAAACTGAATAAGAAAATGTCATATTTCGCTCATTTATTTTGATTAAAACATTCTTTATATATTAAAATTATAAGGGAACCAATTTATAACTAAAAATATTGTTTCTTTTTTGGCCAAATATATATTTCAGTTTATGTTTACCATCCATATTTAAGGAAATAATTAAAATCATTCAATGATGGCATCAAATTTAATATAAATTTAATTTGTTATAGTAATAATATTGATATTTAATAAATTTTGTTCTATCAAAATGAAAATTTGGATAAAAATTCAGTGAATCTTCGTTTTCTATGATTTTCTTAGAGTAACAAAGAAGTAGTAAAACATAATTGCGATTACTTTTTCTTCATGGCATAATTTTCTTTGTTTGGAAAAAAATTGATATTCAATTTAAGTTAAATAGTCCCTAGCTTTCTAGAATGGGTGAAATAGGTTTCTGGAATAAATTATATCGCTGCATTTCTCAATAAAAATTAATACTTTATTCTTCTGTTCTTTATTAATTGAAAAGATCAAATTTTGATCATCCACGAGAATATTATAATATTTTCAGAATTTCATCCAGCATTTATGACGATTTACCTATCGGTTAGTTCATGGCATTAAACTTATTGGTAAAAAATTATCGCTTAAGATTAAAAATTATTACAGATTTTTTTATTTTTACCAATTCTGTCTTAAATTGTTATGGATTTGGTTCATTATTTTGAATATAACATTGTGTTCTCACTGGAAACAAATTGCAAGATATTAAGATAAGATTTCTCCTTTAAATAACCAGTCCGTTTTCATCTATTTCATTGATGCCCTTATTTAAATCTAACTAAAAGATAGAAACCACCAAACAAAAACCAAATGTTCGGTGGAATAACCACCGAAATGTTCGTATTTAAGCTAATCCACAACGATTTATTCAAAAAATGGCAAGTATGTCCATATTACGAATCGCGAAAAATTATTTGTAAACCTTGTGTTCTGCACACTATTTCCTTGGAAGTTGTTGCTTCCTTAAGCCTTATAATTCTCCTGCAAAATCCTCCAGCTGCACTCTTTTACTACTTTTTGTGATACCATAATTTACAATTGCATCTGTGAAGAAGTGTAGTGCGGAGTTTGTGATATTAAAGAAAGAAAAAGGAGAACAAAATAATGTTACTATTGAATTATAGTGCAGCAGGACTTTGAGGTTAAGGGAATATATAAAAGAAAAGACTTTATGAAAATTTTCAACAAATTTGGTAAGAAATAATAAAGGATTTCAAACACGGTGAGCCCAGACACTTTTGTGGGCATTTAACCTGTTTTAGGATGTATATATTAGTACATATAGTGTATTTATAAAATAGCTTATGATGATAAAATAATGAGATTTGGCAATATGTTAGTAGTGATGATCTGACGAAAGAATTGATAAATTATAGGAGAAAAATTTTAGGAAATTTTGCCTGATTTCACCAAAAGAGTGCGGTGTGACAGTTGACAAAAAAAATTAAGTCAACTTTGGAGCAATAACGGGTTCTGAAGAATTTGCAAAGGTGGTGCAATGGTATCTGAGGGATTCAACTAGTACAGGAAATTACTAATAAGATATGAAAAAGTAATGGCGGAGCATTAAACAAATAGTAAAGTTTAAGATATCCCAGCCGAATTTAGCTGCTATGCCAAAATAAAGGTTTGAAACCTAAAGTATCTTACTAATAAAAGTAAAAGGTTATATCGAAGAAGGGCGATGTTTTAAATAACATTAAGACAGTATTTTGTGAAAATAAGGAAGAATTCGATCAAATTTTGAAGTAAATAGATGAATTTTTTTATCGGAAACGCATATATATGCACGCATTTATAGAAGTATATTACAGCAAATTATTATATAGACTGGATGAAATATCTTTTTGGCAAATGAAGTATCGAATTTTGGGCTTTTAAATGATATATGATATCTGCTTTAATTCTTTTTTGACGCAAATAAAAGTAATTGGCGACCGACCCCACTTTTTTCTTTTTTTCCTTAACTCGTGGAAAACTCGAATTGTTTCCAAAGATTAAGTTTTTCCTTTATCAAGTTTAGTCATAGTCATATGGAGCAAGTGCACTATCCAAACGAACCAGTTATCTGGAACAATAAAAAAAACGTGAAATTTGAATAGCACGATCACTAAGGAAAATCGACTGCTGGTTGACAAGCTTTTGAAATTGAAAATAATTTAAAATAATTTTTAATTGTTTCTGTGATCTGAAAAAAGAAAAGAATCAGAAATGTGAAATTTAAATAGCTCTTTTTGAATCGAAAACTTTCGATACGAAAACATCAAAACAATTTTAAAAAATAAAAAAATTACGATTTTATTAGGAAAAAAATATACAATAATCGCAGTCATCGAATATGATTCAAAAAAAATGGTTGAACGGAAATTCACCTAACATATAATTCATCTAACCAGCGAATTTTCCGCATAAAATAATTGATATATGAATAGGGAATTTTTTTAGAGCCAACAGTGTAGTACAAATCGATTCAAGCGAATCGAAAAACCACGATTTATGGCATATAATTTATGGCTTTTTTAAATAATGAATTTTCTTTGTAAAGCCAATTCTCTCAAATTGTTATTTCACCGATTTTATTTTGCCAAAATCTAGAGTCATTGATAAGTTATAAGTTGTTTAAAATTGGCATAAAATTTCTTAATTGCTGAAATTATTTAAACGCAAACTCAAAATATGTTATTTTATCATGGTATTATGTCTAAGCGTATCCGAGGCAATCAAATGTTTTTTGTTTTACAGGGATTTGAGGAATTGAGAATTTGAATATTATGTGAAACCAATTTTTATTCCATATCTGTTTAATCTATATTCCTTTTTCACTTCCTCAATTTGATATAGATACGATTTTTGCCATTTAACCTATTATTATTATTATTAATATAAAAATTCGGAAGTGAAGATCCACTTGCCTCATCCCTCTGTCCTCAGTTGTTGCTGGTACATTTTGCTTGCACAGCTTCCTTACTTCGATTGTGCACAAGCGTATTGATGCATTTCCATAAATAAAACAGAAAATTTAAATCGGAGGATCGGAGTCTTTTTATACATTAAAAAACAAAAAACAAGCAATAAATATGCAAATATGTTAATTTCAGAATTAAAAAAAAAGTTAATTCTAGGAAATAAATAAATAAGAAAGATTATTTTTCAGCAGAAAAACGGAAGAATGAATTCATACGATTTGGTTGATCATATGTATTATGAAAGAAATCAGCGACGTAACAGAATAATGGCGAGAATTTATTCGTCCGAAGCTCTTTCTTTTTCCTTCTTGTTGTATTCAGCTTTTCCTTGACATTTGTTGTTTGCCGCTGATTGCTATTTGTCATACATAAAATAATGAAAAAAAGATTGTTATATCGAAAACCATTCAAATTATGTCGCATCATTTATAGCTGAACGCTATATACACTTAGTTCCGGCGTTTACAGCTTTTCTTCAGCCACTCCTCCTCATCCTTTTTAAATATCTCTTATTAATGGCTTAGTTAATCAGTCAGTCGACTTGGACATGAAGTTCGCCCTCCTTTTCCTCATTGCTTCATTATCGTTCGCGCAAAAAATTATCACTCGTAAGTATTTTTTCTCAACAATTAACGAGCCTAATATCGTCTTTTATAATTAGGATCAATCTGCGATCCACCTGCATCTCGAATATGGCTACCGTGCAAAAACTGTCTCAATAGCTATTAGAACCAGTTTAACCATAAATGGTGAATGCTAACCATCAAGCAACTGCATAACCGAAATCATTTCTTTACAGAAAAATTCTTTCAACAACCTTTCCTTTTTTTAATTCCATTTTCTTTCACTTTCAAACTCTTTTATGCTAGTTTATTTGTAACGAAACCTTTATGATTCTGAATAAGAGTTTCAATATATTCTCAAAAAGATTCTATGCTCACGCAATGGCAATTTTCTTGCTTACTTTGTCGTATATTTCGAGTTCCGCACCCTATATCGAAATAAATGGAATTCCAAATGGATCAATTAGGCTACAAAAAACACAACTATAAAATGAGACTCTGTTTATGTCGCTTATCGTTTTCCTTTCGTTTATTTTATCAATAATTAATCGACACAGTAAATCACCACCAGTGTGACAACTAAACAGAAAAATTTAGCCAAGAAAAATTTTCAGGCATAACCTAATTTTAAACACTGAAGTAAGAAAAAGCAATGAATTTTTTTAAAATTCGTCAAATATTCAAAAATTATTGGAATTGACGATAAATTAAAATAAGTTTCAGATAAGCTGAATTGATAATTTGATAGAAATGAGTAAACAATGGTTTTCAAAAATTTTCTGTTCATGAAATATTTTGATCGTGTAAATTTCTTCTCCTTTACGTGGTTCATATTTGGGTAAAAAAAAGTTATGCGAAGCGCAGTGGAACTAAGCGTTGAATTTCCTTTTTTATTAAGAACTTTAAAGAAGTGAAAAAAGTAGTAAAAGCCATGATTCTATTTATATTTTTGACGATCCTTTCAATGAATTATTCATTTTCTTCGCATTTAATTATTTAATGCTTTAGTTAGTCCTCTAATACTCTACTAGTCAGCGATTTTCCTTGTACCATATTTTATCGCTATTTTACAAAGTGGAATGAATCCGCAAATTTTTGCAAATGTCAAAGAAATTAAGAAAAAGCGTGAATGATGTATAGTTAATTTTTATAAAATCGTAAAATATTTTCATAAAATTTCTTTTATCCATTTAAAGTTTTATAATTCTAAAAAAATTTAGAATATTAGAAGTGGAAAAATTTATTTACATTTATAGATTAAGAAAGTTATAAAAAAGTTATTTACATTTCTTGACAATAGAGATTGTTTATGAAATGAATTTTTTCCAAAAATTTTTGTAAAAATATTTTGAGCAGTTTTAGAGATCAAATTCTTTATAAGTTTTCCAATTTTCCACAACTATTTGGCGAGAAATAAAAATGGGAAATAAATAAAAATATATTTTAAAACACTACTATCATCTGATCATATATTATAAAACATTAATTAGTAATTCTGGGCTAAAAATCATTTCGCTAGATTTAGCTTGAAATTATGTATAAAAATTATTCGAAATTATTCGTAACTGATATTAAAGAATAATCTGAAAATGAAGAGAAAAAAATCCAAAATTTGAAAAAATTCTTAAGTTTTAGAAGCTAAAGATAATCCTGAAATATTGGAACCATCAATATACAACGATCGAAATGAAATACTATACAGAATTCAAGGACAACTTTTTGGTGCACTAGCAATGCTCGATACTTTGCAAGACGGTGAGATTTTTTAAAATTTTTCATATTGTACATAATACCATATCACCAAAACCATATTTTCTTAGACCAAGCCACGAGATTTTAAAATTACAGAAGTTTAAAAAAAATTTGAAAAATTTTAGAGACTTAAGAAATTCTAATGGATGCATGAACAATTTACTATAAAAATTAAAAATTATAAAAATTAAAAACTTAATTTTGAAAAAATGCTGTAAGACTATTGATTCAAAGATATTGGAAACATAAATTTTTAATAACCAAATACTAATGCAACTGAAAAATGCACTACAATTTATATTATAAATGAAATTTTTTGTCGTAAATTTTTTTTATTAAATTTTATTTCCAATTCGAATGTTTTATTGCTTTTCTTATTTCGAGTTACTAAAGTTTTCATAATACCGATGAATAGAGAGAGAAGCAGATTTATTAAAATATTTCACAAATGGAAAGATTTTTTAATGTCAAAAATAACTAGAATTTTTTGAGAACACTGGCGAAATAAGGATAACAGAGAGACTTAATTTATTTAAATCAAATCCGACCTATCGATTGAATCAGATCTTCCAAACATTTTTGCCTTAATGATAAGAAAATTTCAAATGTAGATAATAATATTTATTTTGATATTTTTATATTTATTCATAAAATAGCCTTTGCTTGAAAAATTAATGCATCATTGATGCATCTTTAATTAAGTAGAATTTATGAGCCAAAGGCTTTTTACAGATATCTTGCTGCTTTTCAATGAAATTGTTTGTTTTATTTTTTAAGCCAAAAAAATTATTCAAAGAATGAAAATGCTAAAAATCCACTGAGTGGTACTGGCGATCCATTTACCCACTTACACTTCTATCGCCAAGTTTTTTTGAATTTCTAACCTGTAGCGTCAGCCAAGCAAAATGGAGCTCTAGCCATCACTAAAAACTATAAAAATCTACTGAATTGCATTTAATTACATATACTCAGTTTTATTCATCCAATTCAAGAAATAATCACTTTTGTTAATTTTAGAATTTATTTAAAAGAAAAGAAAATGAATTAGGCATTACTTATTATTAGATGAACTATTTTTATTTAAATTGATTATTTTATGCAATAATTGATTATTTTAGCCAAAATATGATTATTTTAAAAATTTCTATAAGTTATTGTATAAGAGTGGAAATTCGCAAAGTTCACAGTTAATAAGTTAATTTTGTATTCTAAAATTATTTTTGAAATTCCATTTTCAAACATATTAAATGGGCGCTTATTTAGAATAATAAGCAAATAATAAGCGAAGTTACTTAGAATAATATTTTTTCATTAAAACCACTTTTTATCGCTAACTAATTAAGAATATTTTAGCCAATTTTCATTGCCTCAAATTATAGTTTCCATTTGAAAATTGCAGAAAAATCTGTGACAAATAAATAAAGAAATATAAATTTCAATCAAAAATTCATTATTCGTAATAAAAGTTGAAAAAAATTATCTCATCTCTAATAATCTACTTAATTTATCAATTTCATCATACTTATTTTGCAAAAAAAAATTTCCCTATTGGTTGGATGTTTAGGAAAAGTTTTTTTAAATTTTTATGTTGATCGAGATAAGAATATTTGCGAAATGTTCCTCCAATTGATATTGCAATTTTATTTGCAATTCTAAAATCAATTATCATCTTTTTATTCATAAATGACTGAAAATTTCATTAAATAAGACTATTAAAAAAAAAGGATTAATCAATCATGCAACATTATCTTATCATAAATTAATTGGATTATCATAGATTACTTACTGTTAAATTCCGCGAAAATTTCAGATTCAAAGCGAATCGAAAAACGCCGAAATAAGTTTGAATTCATACGATTTGGTCGCCGATAAATTCGATATCGACATCAGCAAATATTTTTTTTACAACTTTACAACTTTTAATATTATATTCCTTGGTTTCATACTTTTTGTGGTCTATTCTTTCCTTTACATGAATGCATGAATACTGTAATACCCGATTGAAGCGTAGTATTAAGCGTAGTATGTGTTTCACAAGGCATTACATCTCTTGCTTTGTAATATAAAGACAGATTCATAAACTTTGTTTAAAAATCCCTATTTTAACACACTATCGACAAAACTGAATTCGTCCATTGTTACAGTGCTATTTCTAAATTATAAACAGGCAAATAAACTTATTTGAAATGATATTCGAATGGTTATTCGGAGATCCATCTGTATGGATATTTGTATTAGTTTTTTCAGATTTTTGCAAAATTAAAATGGTAAATTAAAATGGTAAATGGTAAATTAAAATGGTAAATGGTAAATAAGAAAAGATTTTCGCGAAAATGGAATGAGAATGATCTCAAAAATACATAAAATGTGGAAATGGAATGTGTAATGCTATGCAAATGATTTATTTTTCATATTAATGCACGAATATCTGCGCTTAGCTTTATCAGTATTGGTGGTATACGTTATGAATATCGCATATCGCAAGAATTCATATAGTAGTTTATTTATATGGTTGATAGTGACTGAAATAAAAGATGATTTTTGGGATATTTTTCATTTTTCATGAAAAAAGCTGTTGATTGAGTTATGGTCTTTTTTTAAAGTATAAAAGATCAAAATTAAAAAAGGATTCAATCGAAAAATACTGAACAAATATTAAAGTTCCTAAGACATTTTTGATAAAATATTAATTAAATATTTTATTTTAATGGCATTTATATTTTAAATATGTCTTTCATTTTGCGTAAAGATTTATCCTCAGCAGGAAAGTTTTTCTTCCGTCAGGGTGGCTATCATTATTCCTTATGGGAGTATCCAACTAAATCGATAAATTATTAAATGAGGATTTCCTCAAGATTTTTCAATTACTATCCGCCAAAATCCGCCTTTCGCAAATTCCTGATTTGTGATTGTGATTAAAGAATTATGCATTTTTTTCGAATGGCACACTATGAATAAATAAATTTGTTTCCAATTAGCAAATAGTCATAAAGAAATCTGTTGAGATCTCAGTAATTTTATAGAATATAAAAATTATGTAATGGCGAAACATTTAAGGATGACTAAGGAAAATAAAACTTAACGACTGACGACATTGTTTTGAATTCATCTTAAATTTAAAGAAACCGCTGAAACAAACAAATATAGCAAATGGTAAAATTTTAGGCCTATAAACATTAAACTTTGTTATGGGCTAATTTCATTTATATATAAAGGTTTTGCCATTTCCACTCCGTGTTTTTTTAAAATTTTAAAATTTATTTAGAAACTGAATAAACATTTTAGTTTCGCAAACTTTGTCAATTTTAGTAATCCATAAACATCATTACTTTGTTTCTAATATAAATTTGTTCTTCGGCGATAGTTGGGTCAGCAGCTCCACTCGAATTTAACAGTTTTGCTCTCGTCGAGGGAAAGGTCAAGGATCGTTATGGGGAACAAAATCGTTTAAAATAAAAAACGAATTCATATTAAAACAGTAATGCAATTAAAAATTTAATATACCATTACTAATAACTATAATAAATTAATAAATTAATTAATAAATTTTTAATTAATACCTTATTCTTTCTGATTTATATCTTGTAAGCAAAAAATATACTTTTACCTTGACTTAACCAAATAAAATTAACTATTTTTTCTGCCCATGTCTATCCAGTAATATTCCACTTCAGTAATCCTTTCCCCAGATCGGAACCAACCAGAAATCTGGAGATGGGTCAGTTCTCTCGAGAGATTTGTTACAAATTTGCTTCTAGGATATTTAACCATTTATATTAGTTCGGTCCCAGTTTTTTCATGTTTGTAAGAAGTATCTAGCAAATTGCATCATCAAATTCTGATTTTATTCTTCAAATCTCGAAACCATTTTAAGCGAGTGCATTATCCATTCTAAATAAAACTCGTATAATTAAAGCTGAAGAGAAAATGCGAGCAGCAACTCCAATTCTGAATTCACTTTTTTCTCGCAATTTTTTTGCCAAATCTATTTTTTACTCATAACAATATAGACTACCGTATTCTTGGCTTCAACAAATTTATGGGTTCATTAACACGCAATTGTTAAGATCAGCTCATACCAGCTTTATCGACAATTAAATGACTTTTATTTATATTTCGAGAAAGAGAACTTAGCAGCATCGAAATCGAAATTTTAAAAATTCTAAATCTTTTTATCCAATTAACATTCAGTATCATAATTTGATGAAAAATATCGAAAATTTTCGATCGCACCGCAATTTTTAATAAATTTTTTCTCAATTAACATTTCATATTTATTCCATTTTTGCGAACGAGTAAATACAGTTTGTACTATACTTTTCATCGCAAAATAAGATTTCTGCGTTTTCGACTGGTATGATTCTCATGAAATGATAAATACCACTGATTATCATCGCAAATCGAATTGCTTTGATCATTTCGTGATGATTTTCATCAATATTAAATTTTCTTCGTTCAAAACGATAAACTTTTAGTATCCATTATAATTTGAAAAAAAACGAAAAAAATTGAATGAGTTATCATCAGTAGTTATGAGTAGTTATTAGTAGCAATCACTAATAATCACATACTACAGAATTATTACTTATTATTTTAATATCATATTTTATATTGTATTGTATTATAATTTTTTTTAGTGTTCTAAAAAAAATTATAAAATGCAACAGTTCTTGAAAACTCGCTAGTTTTCTTTTTTAAAAAATCCTATTTTTCATCGAAATGTTTCAAAATATGGCAATTTTATTATGAAAAATCAGTCATTTAAGAAAAAACAACCAATCGTAAATCGACCATGATAAAACACTAATAATAATAATAATCATATCAATCATCAGCTATTATTAAATAATTATTAAAATAGCAATCTTCATTTAATTTATTCGCTTCATTTAATTTTGCAATTCTAAAATCTATTATAAATTTATTGATCATCGACCGACGCAATTCTTTTCATGTTTTTAAGTTCCAAATAATTTATTTAATCGAGTATCAGATGAACTTTCAAACATATTAAGTGTTCTTTTCTTTCCTTATTCTTGACATATTAACATATTCTTCAATCTATTGCATTTAAATTCGAGGAGAATAATAGAAAAATTATTTTATCAACAGGAATGTAATGCGAATTAAATCAACTGCAACATATGTTTTCTCGATAGCAAAGCAAAAAAGAACCAATAAAATTAAAGGAAAGCAAAACTGAAAGAGTGAAAACAAAAAAATGGCCTACCAACAATTCAAACTCCTTAAATATAGGGGTAGCACGTTATAAAAGTTGAAATTGAGCAAAGTTATACACATAAGAAAAATTTATATATTTTTTTTAAAAGGATCCGTCAAAATCTGATTGCAAATGCAAATTACGAGCACAAACCTTTAAAACCTTCAAATAATAAGCAAATGATATATTATATTGCATTTACATACCAGAATTTATGAATACGAAACAATCTCAATATGAGAATCAAGCCATTATATTTATAAACGCTTCGTAACTTATGGGGCAAAATCGCAATCATTAACTTATTTCCTCCTCATGTGAATCGCCACCATGCGAATTTAGCATCTTTTCTTCACCACTGGTAGGAATATCATTCTCCAATTTTTCTACCTGAAATATAGATGATTAATTAAACAAACCTACAAAACATGCAAATATATCGTAAATATTGAGCCATCCAGAAAGTTCCCGTCGTTCTATCATAAAAGACCATATTCAAAATATTTTTTCAATAAACACCACAATAATTTCATTTTTGTTTACGTGATACATTTATTTCATTTACACAAATCACAAAAATCCCAATCTCTGTAATAAATAAACTGCTGAAAGGATTTCAAGGCAAAGGCACATTTAGCTCTGGTCTATTTGTCAACCTTCATTCTATTATTTTACAAATTTTATCATCTGTTGTATATGTAAAAATTTATTTCAAAAAAGAGAAATGTCGCAATACCAGTGAAGATCAATATATGGACGAATAAGTCGTTATCTGAAGCTCAATCAATTCATGAGCATTAATCAAAGAGTTTTTCTTCATGGAATTATCCTACATGATGCATTAAGTAAACCTTTCCTGCTAACTTTTTACGGGTTCTTGATTAACTTTCATTACTACCTACTACTTTCAGATCATCTGCCCATAACGTAGGAGGTCTTCGGGACCTACATATCAACATCAACTTGAACTCTTAAAACTAGTAGAAACTGAAAACACTTTTCCATTTCAAATTTTGTGTATTAAAAAACCAACTGGTACTTGAACAAAATAAAATGAAAAACCACTCATGTCATGGCATGCTGATTCTAAAAATACGTTCAAAATTAGAAAATGTGATAACTTTTTAGATCATTTAATAACATCTAAAATACGAATAATTGAAAATAAAATAAATACCAAAGAATCTTTAGCACAATTTGTATCGATTACATCAGCAACATTAAATCGAGATTTTCCAAGAGAATCTCGCGACTGATTCGAATTTTTTCTTTCTATATGTGGTACAAAAATAGAGCGACGTTGTCGACGAGCAGGATTAAATTCACCACAGACCCAACAACGATATGACATATAATCAAATTCTTCCTCCCTGGACATCCCATTGTGTTCATAGCAATGCGAACATATTAAAGCGTATCTGCAAGCATAAAACTGGAAAAAATCGGTCAATAATAAACAATTGAAATAATCAAAAAATTGCTCGAGAAATTCTTTTTTTAGTTAAGAACTATGGCGGAATAAAAATAACCTATTATTCGGCCCATCTCCAAATACAAAATCAACAAATTTTTCGATAACAGATCGGCTTTGCCTAACGAAAGGTCGTGGAGGCATTTTCATTGGATTAACTACTTCAGTTTTTGAGTCGATAGATTGTGCATTGGCTGGAGCATCAACTTTGTTATTCTGCGCATCTGAAAACTTTTTGTATTTTCATTATTTGCAATTTTTTTAAAGTTTAATGAAGTGATCATCAAACTGACCTTATGGACTTCTTCGGGTCTTTGGTGACTCTGAGCAGGTACTAATTCAAATTATATCTTATTTAATTTGAACGATAAAAATCGCTTGTTCAAATTACTTTATTATGTTCATTCAAAACTACTGAACAGAAAAACCTGATATTTTAAAATTCTAAAGCTTTAAAATTTTGCACCTGAAATCCACAAATTTTTGTGGCATCACCTAAGCAGTACATTTAAAAAAAAATTTTGACGATTACCGATTTAATCATGAAATTTAATTTAATTTAAGCATAAAATTAAATATAAAAATTATGCATAAAAAAGATTTTTTTTAGTGATTCAAAATCAAAGTTAAAATTATATATACAACAACTTCTTTTTCGAAGCTGATTCAGTGAAGAATTAAATCGATATGGAGCACTATCACTGGAAGATATATGTTGGACTGAAGTAACTTCATTCGCAGGATTTATTTTACTCATATTACTTGAAGCCGGTGGATGATATGCTGATTCACCAAACTCGTCTAAAATTTCTTTTGCTACCTGCAACAAACCAGCGATGATATTTCTACTTACTTACTTGAAAATTGAGATAAATAATAATTTCGAGATATCGAGATTTCAAGATCTTGATGGCTTACATTGGAGTTAACCACCATGTAAATCATTTTTTCAGTTTATTACAAAAAAGATGCAAGGGTAAATTCCGACAAATTTTAAAATATGCGAAATTTCATAGCAAATCTTGACCAATCTCTAAGGATAAACCTTAAACCCTGTACAATAAACCTTTAGCTTTTCATTAAACAAACTTAGGATAAACCTTAAATGTCTCTGTTTCTTTCACTCTTTCGAGAATTTCATGCTTTTTTTTTACGATTTCATAACAAGCGTCTCTTTTCTTTTGGATACACCAATTAAAAAATTTTTCAGTGATGAATCGCGTGCTGTATAAAACCACCATACCTGAAATGTCCGATTATCATAGGTAAATTAAAATCAAACTAATTTCTGAGATATCAAATAACAGCCAAAAAAGTGGAAAAAATTCCTTTCCCTGCTTTCTGTTAATAATTTATGCTTCAAAAAGAAAAAATAAAACTTTTTTAATATAGATGAATAATATGTGATTCATAAAAAAAAAAACAAATTTTCGAAGAGCCATCTTAAAAGCATTCCTCCTATCAAGTGAATGAAAAAATAAACCTGCGAAAAAACTGATTAATGAATACAATATACACTGAGCACTATCTCTGGCACGAAAAAGAGATATCCCAATGGATACTGTCATACAAGCTAATAAAACAAGTGTGGAAAAGCACTGAATCGAATGCTGAAAAATTCCATTATTTTCATAATTATTTCAAATTTTTTGCTAACGTCTTGTACTTGTTTTCCCCTGACTACAAGGGTAAGATATTCCTAAGCGGTGCGGAAAGATTTTCGCTGAGACTCTTGCTATGCTAATTCCTCGATAAATTTCTGATAAGTATGATTACAAAATATAAAAAATACTGACTACCATAATAAATTATTATAATTGTTAATGGTACAAAATGATTTCGTCATAAGTAATCACCATAGAAAAAATATAAAAGAAAAAACCTTGCTTGATATATTATTTCGAATTTGTTCCTCTAAAAGTTGATGTCGTTCATGCAATTTCTGCAGTTCTTCAGTTATAATTTTTTTACGACGAAACAATATGTTTCCCATTTGTACAGAATTAAATCAATTCATCGAAAATATTCTTAAAAAAATAAATTAATTTAAATTTATTCGGCTCTTAACGATCAAAATGTATCGAGAAACGAATATTGTTAAGCAACAATTTAACTGAAAATTAGCAAAATTAAAATGAAACAAAAATGCATCGAAAGAATAACTGAAAAATATTCAAGAAATTTCACGACGACATCTACTACACTCAAAAATTAAATTCCTTGCTATTTTCCTTTCGATTATATATTATAACCATCTTGGCACGACAAGCCGACAAAGCCGAATACAGTGAAAATCACGAGAATTTTTTGAATGACTCTAATTTTAACTTTTTCTTTTCTACTTTCTGTCCAAAATTATGAAAAAAAATTTAAACTTTAGAAAACCTCAGATGAACTTCCGAAATAAAATTCTTAATCTCGAGGCTCTTTCTATACTCCACTACAATTTTTTTCTTTAATTGTATATAACAATGGTGCCTTTTTCATTAAAAGTTAAGCAAAAAAAGACGTTAGACTGGATGCCAACAATAGCAAAAATTGGCCATAAGTGTAAATAAATAAGACGAACCTTTTTCAACCCAATATTTTTGATGCTGATAAAATACAGCCTATATAAATTCATCACTGGTTCAAGTGCTGGATTTCAAATATCTGAGATCCACTCTTATATCCATTCGACAGTTTAATTCTGCGAACGCACATTTCTTTACGGTAAATACCGTACAAAGCACTATAATTATCTGCCGTAAAGAAAACCTTCGACTCTTCGAGAATTTCGCCTACAATAATAGGTTTGGTTCCTAATATTTAGAAATAATAAAATGGCAAGTAAAATACTGCGAGAATTTTACACAATATATTGCATAAGGAATTAAATCTTCTAATAGCTCTCACCATTACTGGCCAGGCCGACTGCATTAGCTACAAGGGCCAGACGGCACGCTCTGACGCCACCGTCGACAGTATTAGAAGCCATTTCTTTTTCGATCGTCTAAGTCCATCTATTGCTGGTTCACCGTTCAAAATCTTCTAAATTAAATGCAAAAATTTCTTCAAAGATCATGGAACTCAAAAGCCAAAATCCGACGTTTATAGAAAGGAAACCCTGGCCAAACCCGATGTTCTAATAACTCACTAATCCCCTTGCTCCTCAAATTACAAATAAATGAGCCAATTTAATTTCTCGAAAAATCAGTTCAAAACTCTGATATTTAAAAATTCATTCTATAGGAGCTCTACATTTATGTGGATCTCATTAATTTTCAATTTAGCAGATTATCCCAAAAGTGCGAATATATATATATATATTAATACACGCCAACTTACACCATGGAAGATATGAGAATTCACAGATATTACAATCAGATACAAATATAATTTTTTGAATTTATGTCAGCCCACTTTCACTTATATTTATTTCATTTGATTTTTTTCCATTACCGATATGAATACAAAGCTTGAGCCATATAGTTTTCTCAAATAAATAAAGATTTGCATAATAAAACGGTAAGTTATTAGACTAAGTCCACTTTCTCCACTTTCTTTTTAGGAGGGCGATAGTAATAGCACAACAGCAGGACTCCACGCACTTTACTAAGAGATAAAGATATAATGGAATATCGAAGGAACACAACGAATATTTTGGGATATCAAAGCAATACAACAGTGTGTTTTAGCGAATTTTAAGAAAGCATATTGGAGTGGATTCTGAGGTCAGCAATATAGAATAGAATAGAGAATAGAAGATATTGACTTTTTCCTTTTTTTTCTCTGACCATTCCCTCTCGATAGGTCCTATGTACTACTCGCAGTACCAAATCTTTAATACCACATAGATTAACACTCTCAAGGAGGGTTGGCGCTGGTCGAGGCTATCTTCGTCATTTTTTTAAAAGAAGGTTGAATCGCTTACCCAAAAAAATTTAAATGAATAAGGGGTCCAGTGATTTAAAAGAACGTAAGGTGGAATACACAATGGTTCGATTTGATTTCAAACACGGTGTCGGATCAGAAGACATTTATCATTTATCGTAATAATTAGCGAAGTTAGTTAAATCCGAAATAGTATGAATTATTTGAAAAGAAAATAATCAATTCACATCATATTTTAATCAAAAAACGAAATCAGAAAAGCAAAGGCTTATCACGTTAAGCAGAACTAAAGTTTAAGGAAAAATTTTATTGATATTATATCAACAAAATTCACATGTACGACGGCATATATTAGTCATTTCTGATTGATATGCGTCAAAATAACACAAATTTCGATATTTTTGACAATCTTCTCTCCTATCCAAACAATCATGAGATTTGCCAATTTTTAATCGTTTTTCTGAAATAAACATTTTGTTTATAGGATCTTTGGGAAGTCTTAAGAAATTTAAATTAATTTTTTTGAAGCTTAAATAAATCACCAACGGCATGTGAAATCCTAAAAATAAAAAAGAAAAATGATAAAGATAAATTGATCATCAAAATATATATATCGCATATTATCGCATATAAACGTTACTTTCGAAACAGCTCGTTAAATTACATGTTCGCATGCAATTCAATTGCATGAACTCTGTTTCACATTCCATATATTTGAGGAAATTGCTACAATTTGGTGTAACATCAGGACATCTGCCAGCAGCTCCAGGTCGATTACATAAACGACACGTATGTGGACATTTCGTTAAAGCTGTTTCAATTCTACACTGACCGGAACGCATAAAAGCGTCGCAATCTTTTTCAGATTCGCCTGAAACATCGTTTAATGTATTTCGCACTTTATAAATTTAATTTTAAAATTTATTTAATTCACGAGAATCTCAGAGCAATACTGCATTGTTTTGTGAACTCGAATAGAAAAATAATTTTAAATAAATGCTACTCTGAAACCAGAATAATTTTCAGACTAAATTCAATAGAAAACAATTTAAATGCAATAGCAGTTTGACTTTTATTCATGGTAATGAACTTACTATCAGCGCATTCGAATTGCGGAAGTCGACAGCACAATGCACACAATGATGGACAAAATTGAATAGCAAAATCCATGGATGTATTACGATAGCACTGATTTGATACCATGTAAGTATTATTGCTTAAATGTTCTCAATTAGCCTATAATAACGAACAAAATTGCGATAAATATTCGCTATTCTAGGTAATAACTATCTTATTAGAAACGCAATCAAGTAGTAGTGGGGGGAAATGAAGACAAAGACTAAGGAGAGAGCTGGAAAGGAAATTGAGAAATCTGTGAATTTTTCCCAAAAATATTTATTATTACGAAATTCACCTTAAATTTTAGTGAACTCAGGTTTGATTAAATTATTTCAGGAGGTAGAAAAAAAGGAATAATTAAGTGGTATGAATGTTTCAGAGTGACAGGAGTAAGCGTGCCATTAAAAAAATTTTCGGATGGAGTTGGTTACCAACCTGTGCTTCTATCGCTGCAGATGATGAATGCTTATTATGAACGTACCTTACAGCTCGTTTCTAATTTCTCATAAAATTTAGATTTTTTCTTGGAGCTATAAGAAATTTTCCTTAAACTCTGTCTAAAAATCTGTCTAAAAATTATAAATCTATAAAACTGAAAAATATTATTAAATATACTATTGCAAAAATTTATAGTTTCAGTCGACTTCCTCATTTTTTTAAATTATATTTTTATAAATTAAAATTAGTTTCTCTTAAAGTGATCGAAGCAAAATTTGTTTTTTTAAGAATTTCCCATCGATATTTATAGCTTTGTTTTGTAATATGAATCCCATTTCCAAGTCCGACTATCATCAGTCTTTATCAGAAAAATATATCAAAAAAATCCCTTTCTCAGGCTCTATAGGTGGCAGGCTCGTATCTATCTGGATTCCTTTACCAGAGACCTGGTAACTGAAGGTCTTTAGGATACCAGACTTTCATAGAACATGTGTTGAATCATAGCCTTTCTTACGATTGGTGCAAGACTTTGACCGCTCTATCTATTATCTGGAGCCTCTGGTGTCATTATCAATATCCTTTAAAACTCAAATAGTGACTCACATGGTCTTATAGCTTGATAGCTATGATGTTTGATATTTTCCATATTGTGAGGAGGTAGATTATTGGTTGTTGGTTGGAATTTTTCCAACCAATGTTAAGATTTCTCACTTATTAATCACGTCAGCTATTTGTCGGTGGTATATCCCATGGAGGGTCTTATCTTGCCATGGCAATTTTCCTTTCTTTAAACATCCGCCACATTCTCAATATCTAATAGTTTTTCTTGATCAGTACCGTACTTTTCTGATCTTACCAGCCTGTTTACCGCAAAAAAACTGGTTCATTTGTGTTGTCATGAACCGTATTAGTTTTTTTAACCAGTAGATATAGGCCATATGCTGTCCAGCTTTTCAATTTTTTAACTTTCTATTATATGTTTTCTGTGATGATAACTGGTTCCTGCTTTGGAAAATTGCTGTGATCTGTTGTCTAGTCCACTCCGCATGATGTTATGCATGTCTTCTTCTTCTCCCGTATATTTTTCCACTAGTACTCAGTTTCTGCTATTGGTGGCTCTATTATTACCACATTGTTGTGTTGCAATTGAAAATACACAATGGATGGTTCTTTGGGGAGCAAAACATTTCTATTTTTGACTTCTGCTGCTCTCTATGTCTTCAGCATGGTTGCTAGTGCTGTAAGTCATCCTTTTCTCTTGAGTCTTTGATGGAGTATGGCCTTATATTTCCAGTAACCAGGTCCTATCTTTAATGTCCACAGTCTTCTGCAGCTGATCTTATCCTTCAGCTTTATTTTCCAGAGGCGACATGCATGGCTATTCTTCTTGATTCTATCCAAGCATTTACAGAATTTCAGCTGTTTCGCAAATCGATTCATTGGTTTCTATTACGGTGATATAGCATTGTAAGCTATTCATATCACCTAGTATATATCTGATTGGACTTCGTTGGGCTTTAGTGGTTGATTTTGATGGTTCCTTATTCATTTTTTGCCTATATCAACTGCTCTGCTTTGTAATAGGGATGTTGAAAGAAAATTTCCAGCTTCCCATTTTGTTGGATATCTCATTTTTCTTTCGGATTTTGAGCTTGGAAATATAGTGCAGAGTTGACTTCAGTTAAGAGAATAACTTTTTTTTTTCTAAGTTCTCCATGAAATGCTGAGTTTCCTAGTTAATGTGGATGCAAATTTTTGTCCATGCACAGCCCCTCCATACGCTTCATATATTTCCATGCATTCTTCTTCTTTCATTTTCTAACTCCTCAGCCATTACATTGTTAGGATGGCTTTACTGGCAACGTTTCGAAGTTGCGTGATATGATGCCATCGTCAACAATAATGGAAGCCATTTTCCTTTTTGCATCGTCTAAATTCGTATATTCCTGGTCAACCTATATGTTTAAAACCTTTCCTGATCGTATCAGTCCAGGTCTTGATTGGCCCATCTCGTTTTTGACATAAAAAAATCAGGAAAAATCCATCAGGATTTAGTAAGTAACGAAATATATGCCAACTGTTATAATAGGTGGCGAAGAACGAGCAGCCCTAATCAGCGAACGTGATACCTCTGCGATGGTATTGTTAATACAAGTGGTACCTTACGATGGATGCAAACATGTTTTATATTTTTTTATATACTCGCGAGATTTTATATACTCGGCGAATCCGTATAATAAACCTTAGACATGAATGGTCAAAAGCAAATAATATCCTCCACTCTCATTGGCCATGTCTTGTAGCCATATGGCAAGAGCGAATGGTAGCTATATAGACTTTTTTTTTCGTGGGCGTTCGTTTTGATGGTGATTGCACAACGAAGATCCATCAAGGTTTCGCCAACCGACAGAACTCATTTCTAGCCACCTAAGCTACCGGGTTGTAATTTCGTCTTTCGCTTGGCCATTTGGATCACATCCAATATATTTAAAGTTTAACACTTCCTCAACCAGGGATGAATTGATAAAAATAACTATTTTATTAGCTATAGTAACTTTTTACAAGACGAAAGGGCTTTTATTTACATTGATGAGATTCGCTGCAATTGTCGACATATTGCATTTCATTTCATTTCATTTCATATTGCATTTGTATTTCATCATAACTGTAAGCAAAAAGAACTGCATTATTGAAGGTATGTGATACTATGCTCTAAACTGATTTGCCCACCTTTTAAGTGCCAAGCGATATCCATTATGCAGTCCATCGCATGGTTGAATACTGCGTAGAGGAAAGGACACCGGTAGGACAAGGTAACCTTGACCGACACCAGTTCTTATTTCGAAGGATTCTGTCAGTTCCCCATATGCACAGACCTGTAAAATGTCTTTATGAGTCGAATGATCTTCTCTGGAACACCGTGGCATTCCATCATCCTCCAAAGCGCCTTTCTATCAATTGAATCGAAGGCAGCCGCAAAGTCGATGAAACACATGGCAGTGGATTGCAAATATCTGAAGCGATATTCTAACACCCTTCTTAACGTGGATATCTGGTTAGCACAACAGCGTTCCGGTCTGAATTCAGTTTGGTTAGGATACATTTTGCTATCTCGTGAGTCTATTTGTCATGAGTCTATTTAGCCGAAGGGAAGCGAAAATTTTTCCAGAGATGTCCAGTAAGTTGATTCCTCAATAATTGTCCTGTCACTTTTCTTGAGAATTGGAAGCAGAATTGCTTTCAATCTCCAGTCTTCTGGTATTATTTTCTTTTACCATACCAGCGAATACATTTATTTAAGGTGAGTTTGAACGATAATGGACAAAATTTGAATGTTCGGCCAGAAGACCATCTTCTCTGGGAATTTTATTGGTCTTAAACTTATGGATTATAGAGATTATTTCTCTTCTGTTGACAGTTCGCAGTTGTAAATGTATAGCTCGACATGCGAATCAGTTATATTCGGGTCAACAGATGGCGCATCGTGGTTAAATTTGGCCTCAAAAAATTCTTTCCATCTTCTGAGGAGATCCTTAATATTTTACTTACTCCTTCTCGAATAATAGTTGCTTTGTGAAGAAGGCGAAACACTTTCCTATTATCATCTATCCGAGCCGTCTTTTCCACTCAAGGCCATATCGCTCCAACAGCGATTTTTGTCCCGCTTTTGTTGTTGTAATTCTTCGAAGCATCCGATAGTTAGGATCTAATAAAATTCGGGCTGTGGCAGTTTTTTCAAACAGTTGGACAGTCGCTTCCGATACCCAATTAACACTTCCTATTAATATGCCCTAGCGTGGGAGTGGCTGACTTTCGGAGACATTTTTTGACCAGTATTCATTTACGGTTCCAGAAAAGTCATTGATATTTATACCATTGAAGTGCTTCAATAATTCAGTTTGAAATGCGCTTATTGTCTCCGATTTTTTTAATTTGAGATAATAGAGTTGAGAGATCTTGGGGAACGCTGTTTTTTCTTGAGAGTTATCAATTTTATGCGAATCTTGGCTCGAACCGGTCAGATCCATGATTGCCCATTTCAGTACCGCGATAGCAACGACTATCTAGTACGGAACTCTTCTAACGGCAACTATCTAAAATATAGTCAGTCTGGTTGGGAAAGTTGGTTATCCGAAGAGTTCCAGATGACTAGATATTTCCACCGGAATCATGAATCAATAAAATTCATGCACATCGGCATAGCGATGAACTTGTTCCCAATTGGCGCTCTGATGCCATATTTACCAGCTGTCTAGATCATCGCAACAACATTATGACCCATGCGCGCATTCTAGTCTCTTCCGATTGTGTCCATGTCATGTTTCAATGGAGACTTTGTTAGCAATTGAAATTCCGCGTGGAACTTATTTTTATTACGGCCATCTGCCGACAAAGTTGGAACATAAACACTGACGACCGAAATATTGCAGAAAAGCGTGCACAGATCATATGGTCCCTTAAAGGTTTCCACTATATCAAAGCAAAGTGGGCCTTTTCAGACATGACAATCACTACGCCATTTCTCCTATAGTTATCTGAAGCACCATAGTGGTATAGCCAGTGCCTCCAGGATTAGTAGTTATTCGAGACCTGAAGTGAGGAAGCGACTTCCATACGATATTTAGAAAGAGTCAGTGATCGCTCGCAAGGCCCATAAGCGATCTAACGTTCCATGCTGATTTAGCCGGAAAGAACCGTTCCTCTTAATAGGATAATTATCCTGGCTTGCGAGCATATTTTATGAATCCTGAGATTGTTTCATGCGGGTTATATACTTATCGCATGTACCAAGAGGCGCTGGAAATATCATGGGCGCCAGACGCAAATGCCGTGACAGGAACATCTGGCCTTTTCACCACAGATCACTTGATCTCCATTAATTAGGTTAATTAGTAGCATTCCATCAATTCCAAGTTATCTTCATCCAATGTTTGTTCCAATAACTCTTTTCAAGCTAAACTGCCGTGGCTCGACAATCTATTATAATTCGTTTACTACTAGATAGTTCTAGTTCCTCAATGTCTGATATGGATTTTGTTAACCCGGGCGATGTTCGAGCTAGCAGTTGGTACTCTGTATGCAAAATTTTACATTTGATGGGGCAGATAATAAGAACATGGAACCTTTTGCTAAAAAATCCTCATGGGAAAGATAGATATAAAATTTTTGTGAAAAATAAATTTTATGAATAAATAAATTCTTTAGGAAGAATTAAGAATTTTATATATTCCAAAATTGATAATCGTTCAAGACATTCTAATATTGTTATGGCACCACTACATATCCAGCTAGAATGGTAGAATAGATTGTTGCTCTCATTCGGCAGCATTGGAGCTGGGATTTTACTGGCAGGAATAAGCCTACCTTTCCAAACTGACTTGACTATACTTTTATCGTCAAGTGATTTCCTGATAAAATTTCTTATCCTAATCTAGGGAAGACAATCCAAGGAAGCGAACATGGCCAGAAACAGCGCTTTTGGAAAAACAGAAAAAAATTCAGCTGATTCTTTAATTCAAATATAGATAAAAACGGTCTTACGTGGAGATAGGAAAAATTAGTTATTAAGTTGAAATAAATGATAAAAAAATGTGTGGACTTTTTGGTATACCAGTTCGAATTTTGTTCAAGGATTATCTAAGAAATGTGAAAAATAGTTATAAGCGGTTAAATATCAAAAATTCTGTATCTTTTAAATAATAAAAAAAATAATTCATTACATATTTTTATTACTGAGTTTAATAGTTGGAGGTAGTCCGAAGACCTTTTCACATTCAGGTATAGCATCGCCACATTCATTAGCATCTGGTAGGGGCCGAGCAACTCCACCGGTTGTGCTAAAACATTGCATAATTTTTACCGGTGAACCAAGTTGTCCCCACTTTTTCGAAGTATTGTCCACATCTTTAAATTATTAATTTATAGATATTATATATCATATTATGCTACATATTATTAATTTATAGATATTATATATTATATTATGCAACATATTATTAATTTATAGATATTATATATTATATTATGCAATATTATGTATTGGTGTAACAACAGTAAACTAAAAAAAATAATAAAGAAGTAGAAGTAAAAAATGATAAATGATAAAAATATATATTCCGAATAGCAATAGTGATTCATCCTTTAAACGGTGATCTGTTCCAGTAGTAAATGTTTTCATGAAACTGAAAAATAGGTTTAACTTTAACCCATTGCATTTGATATTGGCATTCAACTGGTTTTGAACCAATGCAATTAAAATAAAATAAATTGTATAAAACTCCGTCATTAAAAATGATTCATTGCTTTCTGAGCAAATATAATTGAAAAATTCGAGATTATGTAAATTTAGCCTACAGATGACTGAAGAATTCGAGTCCAAGGAACTCGATTGACTTAACTGATTTGTTACATTTGTCGCAGTGTTGCGAGTGTGCGAATAAGTCTTTCGCTCATATTCATAATCTTCTACGAGAGAAATACCTCTTTTAGCATTAATATGTACAATAAAATTTTTTATTTATCGGTAGATAATTTGATTTACTCTGATTTAGCCATCCAACCATATTATTTTAATCACTTAGTCTTAAACTACAGCATCCATTTATTTATATTCTTTCTATAGAAGAAAATGCTTTCAACAATCCCAACCAATCCAAGAAACAGTGGAATTAATATAATTTAAAACTGTGGAATTTGCCGTATATAATACTGAAGAAAACTGCTTTAAAGCTGTGCTAAATTTTATGAGAACAATAATAGAAAATGAGGATATTGACAAAATCAAGGAAGAGATTATGGGAAGCTGAAACAATGTATTAAAAGAAAAATAATTCATTATCTATTTTTATTACTGAGAATATAATACTTAAATATTTGAAAATCTTGCAGTAGAGTTGATGGTATCAACTAAAGTGTGGCTTGAATCCAAGCTCTCATAAACGGCTCAGAGTCAAGTAAGTTCCACCGCTGCAGAAAAGATCGAAAGGACAATTCAATTGTCCGAAGAGGATACCAAAGCTTAGGAGATTCATGATACTAGGAAATCTTTGAAAAAATCAGATCAGAAATTTTGAAAAATGTACGATAAAATTTCACATTGTGGCACGAAAAATAATTCTGAAGTACCTTATTGAATATGGAAAAAGTTGATAGCCTAAAAATATTTCACCTTTTTTCATTTGAACTAATGAAATGAAAGCCTAGTGAAATAATGCGAGATAAAAAACCTCTCCCGGTGGAGAGAAAACTAAACTTGTATCGTATCATCGCGTATAAGATTAAAATACCTTCCGAACCATATTATAATTGAAAGCCACCAATAAATCCATTATAGAAAAGCTCAAGGCCAACAAAACTTGTGGAGAGGGTATGCGGAATTTTCTTAATGTTGTATAGCAACTCAAGTACAAAGGATATATGTGTTCGCTTTCTTCTCCTGAATAGACGTACAGCTAGGTAAGATAGAAGGATATGCACTGATGAAGTTTAAGCCAGGATTCTGATGCTTACAGATATTCATGAACAGGGATATCGCTCCAAATAGCAGCAAAAAAAAATCAACCCATCATTTGTTTTCACCAGTTTTGCCGCTATATTTATTTCAGTAAATGGAGATATGCTTTGGAGGATCATAGAGCACTACGATGTTCCTGAGATTTTATCAAGAAATTTAACCAGTGTACGACATAGCGAGTTTGTGGGTATAGATATTCTCATGAAATAGGAATGATTGCGTATTAGAGTATTTCCCATACAATATTCAGCTGTGCAATATATTGGATTGTGGGCACCGATTGTCGGCACTCATGAGGTCTATAATCAGTCCACATCGTAGTATCAGAGATCCTGAGCGCTGGTGATATATCCATTTTGCTGATAGTCCTTTGCTGAACTGATATGATAAAAATAAATTATTCTAATGAAACTTTGAAGAATTTCCTACCACTGCCTTTATTTTGAGTCATAATGCATGGACTTAAGAACTAAATGAGTGAAGGAAATTACCAGCGGTGCACAATCCACAAGTTAATTGGCATTTATTCCGAATTTCATAGGAGTTCTCGCATAAATTTTTCTTCAAATCGCAATCCATTGCAATATTTGAACAACCAAAAATGACTTTAAACAAGATTATAGTAAAAATATAGAACATAATTTAGCGCAAGTAAAGCAATGTAGGTGTGGAAATCAAATCGCTACAATATCATTTTTGCGAAATTTTTTCAGCTGTTTTAATATTTGAAGAATTTATCATATCACAGTTGATGCGGTGAAGATAAATAAACAATTGAAATTATTGATATAGCTTTTTTGTAACATGAATAAATGAGCTGCCATGACAAAATATTCAATTTAAGCAAATCTATTCGAAATTAAAGCAAAATGCATGCATTGCAAAAATATTCGATGGACAATATAATGTGTAAAATATAAATTTTACCAATAATCCCATTGATGCCTCAACTATGCATCCTTCTAGCATGAACAGTACCTCTTCAAAGTTCTTCAAAGTAACTTAGATTGGATTACCTCATGAGGTAAAAAATATTGTTCTAGAAACAATTCTGCGCCGCGCTTCGAACATCAACACCCTTTATTTGTGCTTATCACATTTGGATGGCGCCGGTGGAGACTACGAAATAAAAAATCCCAAGTTTGAAAAATTAGATGCGGTAATCAAGGATATGAAAGCATTTATTAATGCAACCACCACTACAAATATTTTGGACCATGAAAAAAATTATAGGTTTCTACTTTTCACTCTTCGAAGTAGACATAAAAAATAGAATTAAAAGAATATTTTGCATCGATGTTATCATTATTTCCATCGGTTGTATGCAGGTACTTACCATTTTAATATTAATAATTAATGAATCCAATCACCTGTTTGGTGTGAATTAATAAGCACATCTGGTTAGTTTATTTCCCTTGACTGTGTGATTAGGAATTTTGTCGGGAAACTACTTAGCGACAGATAATTACTAATGATAGAAATGGCGAAAGATAGGTCGTCAGTATGGAAGCGCTCAAACTCCCGAAAAATATTATAAAAAATCAATTCCTGAGGTTTTTCAAGTTTCTATTGACATAAAATGAACTTGAAACAATTCTGAAATTCCACAGAAAAAAGTCAACACACTTCTAAGGCTTTTTTCTCATTCAATATTCTGATTTTCGGTATTTTAAACCCTTCAATACTACTCGGATTTTTAATGAGATTCACTCTGCTGAAAGCAGCACGGGTAAAAGCGTGGTAGAAGCAACACGATCAACCGTTCCATACTACTCCACCGATGGACGAATAACAATTAATTTAAACTAACTTATGTTCATTTTAAATTAGATTGTTCAAATTTGTAATTTTAGGTTAAATTTAAATCCAACAAGAACTAATGGACTAAAATTACTAAAACCTATGTGTAAAACTAAACTAAGGACTTATGATTTCTTTATTCGTAATATTAATTTCTGGAATAAATTACTGAACGACATAGCTTGTGCGCCATCCCTAGCTATCTTTAAAAAAGAATAGATAATATCATTTATGATAATATTTAAAAAATTCAGATCATGCAAGAAGTGTGAAATCTCGATTTTTACCATCCGATTATAGTTATTTCGAATTGTACTACATTATTTTGCAATATCCTCTTTATTTCATCTTTAAATTGTTTATTTTATTTTAATATAATTTTTTTTTGTTATTTATTATTTATTTATTTGTCATTAATTCTACTTATTTGTTATTTTAAGTGATGTTATTAATACAAGCACATGGCGTTTGTGCCCTGCTTGACTGGTTTTCAATGAATAAAATAATAACTTAAAAAAATTGAGAACACTACAGGATGCAGAATATGGAAAAATTAAGGAAATATTTTTGTAAAATCACTGAATTACTTATTAAAATTTGATAAATCTTGAGTTATTCCTTTACCATTCATTATAAATAATTTAATAAAGTGGGATACATCATAGAAATTACGCAAACCATATATTATTTGAGCCGATTATAGTTATTTCGAATTGTACTACATTATTTTGCAATATCCTCTTTATTTCATCTTTAAATTGTTTACTTTATTTTAATATAATTTTTTTTTTGTTATTTGTCATTAATTCTACTTATTTGTTATTTTAAGTGATGTTATTAGTTTAGTTAAAAAGTTTTCCACAGTGATTTATTATCAAATTAACAATTACAATTACAATTAAATTTCCTATGAACCATACATAAACAATATATAAACAAATTAAAATGAGTATGAAGCACGAATATCCCACTATAAGTTCATTCAAGACTTGCCTACATTAAAAACCAATGAAGGAACTGTAGACAGATGAGATGAAAGTGCGATCGAGCTTTTATGTACAATATACAATAAATAATTTTCAACCATACGATGGAGTGGATAATGGATATCGCTTGTCGGCACTTAAAAGGTGGGCAAATCAGCTTAGAGCATAGTATCACATGCCTTCAATATGCTGATGATGCAGTCCTTTTTGCTTACAGTTATGATGAAATGCAAATAATACTAAACAATATGTCGACAATTGCAGCGAATCTCATCAATGTAAATAAAAGCCCTTTCGTCTTGTAAAAAGTTATTATATAGCTAATAAAATAGTTATTTTTATCAATTCATCCCTGGTTGAGGAAGTGTTAAACTTTAAATATATTGGATGTGATCCAAATGGCCAAGCGAAAGACGAAATTACAACCCGGTAGCTTAGGTGGCTAGAAATGAGTTCTGTCGGTTGGCGAAACCTTGATGGATCTTCGTTGTGCAATCACCATCAAAACGAACGCCCACGAAAAAAAAAGTCAATATAGAAAGTTGCGATTCTCTCGATCTTGCTATATGGCTGCGAGAGATGGCCGATAAGAGTGGAGGATATTAAGAAGTTTACCTTTGATCACTCTCATTTACGATGCATTTTACAGGTTCGCCGAGTGGATAAAATCTCATATGATCACATGCACCGTTCAAATACCACATTAACAGATCATCGTAGGGCATCGCCTTCATTGGTTAGGGCACATTTTTCGTAATCAACACAAGTTAACATATATTTCGCTACCTTGCTAAACCCTATGATGGTGGATGGTCTTAAAAGCTAGGAGAGACAGTCAAGACCTGGAATAATACAGTTAGTTTCTGGACATATAGGTGTATATATGGACTTTGGGAAAAAGGGATTACTCCAGAAGAGCGAACTTGGAGACTTCTTACTCTTTAGCCAACAGAGACAGCCTAAGCAGTAAAGGGAAGTGTAGAAGAAGAAGAATCGAGTTGTATATGGCTTTATCTGAGGAAAAGCAGTACAGCTTCCTTCGACAATTAAGAATCCAAAGTCGAAGTGAAAGTCCAGCAGCACCTTTGTTACCGATACCGGTGAACCTAAAAATGAAAAAATGCTGGTTGTTGCAAAAGTAGAGAAAAAAAGAAAAATCGAACCATAAAGTTCTTATCACTTAATTTATAGAACTTTGATGTTAGGTTAACGAAAGGAGCATTCCACTGCTTCTTTTAATTCTTCTTCACCGCATGAAATCACCACTACGATCTATCATTATTGTTAACCGTGTAGTGGCTGATTATAGATTAGGCCGTGTTTCTGGAGGAGACGACCGGGCCGTGGGCCGTAATTAGACGAGAATTGAGATGCGCTTTTTTCGATGCGATAGGTCCATTTGACGTATTTAGATCGTGGTACGTGGTTCGCTTTTCAGCCATTGGGTGTGGTTTGTAGCTCATAGCTCTTACTGTGTACACAAAATTTTGAAGGAGGTTATTAGTCTGGAAAATTTTCAATTTTGTTCGTATTGGGAAGTTTTAAAGGCTGCTAAAATTTGTGCCAGTCGGAAGAATTTTTCCGAAAATTTTTCTTTTGCTTTCAGTTTAATTAATGACTTTCGACCTTTGCCACTGATAATTAATTGATTGATTCTCGATCATTTGTGATTTTATCGATAATATGAATTATTTCATGATAAAACGTAAAACGTATTGGTCGGCATTTTATCTCCAAAATGTTCATTCTATGATAATCGTCAGAAGATTTTTGCCGACTTCATTATTTCTTGAGATTTCAATGATTAAGTTTTTATCAATTAATAAGAAATCATAGAGATAGTGATAATCGAATAATGTGTTTGTTCCATATGCGTCAAGCATCGAAGAATTTTTTATTTAATATTGATAGTAATAAATATGCTATTAAAAAGTCGTGGGACTAGCTGCACCTTTATAAGAAATGACTCTCTGGTTAAAATTCTGATGAACCAGAAGTAAGCAGAAATGATGACTGCTAACTTGATAAGAAGTCATGGATCAAGAGGTGTTCTTCGTTTTATCATATTTTTATTATCGACTGTATACCGTCATTATAAATCAAATTTTTATTTTGTGTGCTGGAATTTGATATTTTTAATGGCATTTTTCTCACTTATGGTTTCCAAAATTGCGGATAAAAGTCTGTTTTTTTATTTTTTAACCATAAATTCTTATATTTATTTATTCTTTAATTTCGGATGTGTTTTAGGTTTTCTTCGAAGAGGAAATATTTTCGTCGAAGAAAGATTGAAGTTTCATCGGTTATGCTCAACGTCGTTAATGCATCCATTGTTTTTTGATTTTCTGTTAACGTCAAGTGTACAAAAATCATCAATTCGCTAGCATTGAAAAAAAAAGGGAAAATAACGAATTTCTCGATTTTTCATAAAATTTCATTATATAAGGTTTTTTTTCACTTTCGCTATTTTATTTCTTCTTTTTAAAAAGTTTTTTCTTCAAAAATTTCTGTGACAAATAAAAAAATATTGAAAAAGCAATACCACTAAACCATCTCATTCACAAATTTTATTAAATTGAAATTTTATTCTCTTTTTTTTGTGATTTCTTTCGATATTAATGTATAAAATTATTTCTTTTAGTTTTTTCTTTTTTTAAATATTTTTTAGCAGTTTTTTCAAGAAAAAATATAATAAAAACTAATAAGTTTAAAATCTTTTTTCATATTTTTTTCTTCTGATACCATTTGTCGCCGAAAGGAAAAAAAGCTGTAAATTTGAGCCATTGTACACCATTATTAATTATACCAACTGCGTTGGTTGCGAGGGTATTTTTAAGCTTCGATCATAAAAATAGCTGAGGCCACGTTCTTTTCCACAGTTCAAATTTTTACATAGCTTATCCATCTGTGCGATCAAAATTTCTCCTTCTGACTTCATCAGTATTTTATTTATTGGTTGATTGCTTTTTACATGTCAGCGAGCTTTGATTCCTATGACGGCGCAGCGAAATAAATGACCTAATGATATAGGTCGTATCAATCCCCCTTTGATGTTTGAGCAGTTGATGAAATTCATGCGATGAAATTCTATCCACTCTGTCTCGGGTCATATTAAAGTAATTTAGGTGATTTAAAATAGATAGATAGATTCTCGGTATCTTCCACTCTCATTGGCCATATTTCCAGCCATATAATAAAATTTTACGCCCTCCGCTTCGATAGCTACTAATCCTGCTCCACTATTTTACATACTCCAGTCCTTTTTTTTCTTCAAATTCCTTAAGTTTCTATACACACTCGTATAATACCATTAATAATTGGAGATAGAATGGCTCTGTGACTAAATTCGGGGCGCTGATGGTGAGGTTCGATTCACAAAAATCTTGGTGGTGCTGGTGACTCACCTGTAGCGCCAAGGGACTCTCTGGCATTTTTGTTCAGTGCGACAAACCAGCGGAGCGAATTCATTCCCGTCAGTAACTGGGCAAAGGGCATCAGCTAAGGATATCGATATATAGAAGGTATAGCTGCAGTTATCGACCTAGAATTGCGTCAGTTTTTCTTGTCAATTTGGTTTAAGAGAATCATTTGAAATCTGGTTATTCATCCATCGAATTTTAAATATAGTTATTTTCTCAACATATTATATAATGAAAAGAGTGTCGTCTTGTTTATTTTAATTTTTAACCCTATTTTCGCTACATATATCGATATCAGTAAAGAGAGGATTGAATGCAAATCTGAATTAAACTTATTTCGAAGGAGTTTATCCTGTCCTCATAAACCTTAACTAGCGCTCGTGAAATAAATCCTTAATAAGTTCGATGTTCTCTGGAATGCAAGTTACGTTACATGACTTCCACAGCTCCATTCTATTAGTTGGTTCGATCAGAAATATTGTATTAAATGTTGTATTAAATGGAATAAGTTCTATCTGTTTGTTTTTTAGATCATTAACATGATTCACTGAAATGATTCGGTTTGGAATATGCTAACTTCCACAATTTTTTGACTTGAGAATCGGTTTATTTTTCGACATATTCTTTTTTACACGTCAATTTTATGTGGATCTGGGCTAGAGCCATAACATAGTCGTAATCCGTTAAGGTTTATTAACGAAATTTTTATACGTTTCAAATCTTCTCTGGTAATATAAAAAGTATTTTTTTCATTGACAAAGTAATAATGGTATTTAGTCCGAGAATTTGTTCAATTTGTGTGTTACATAATATAATCTGTAGTGATTACATATATATATATATAATTTAGAAATGGAATGGCTCAGTAGATTAATTTTCTTATTACTTTTCTTTATTTTTTGAACGCTGAGATTCTACTCCCGATAGGAAATATTTTTGGAAAATTCGGATGATGTTGACGACAGATTTGTGCTTCTGTCGTCAAGTGACTACCAAAATTTGTCTGTTCCATCTGGTGCATTGAGTAAACCTAACTAGAAGTGGGTAATAATAAATAATAATAAATTAATGAATAATGGGTAGGTTTTCAAGTTGCATTTTCAAGTTTTCAAGTTTCTTGTATTTGAAAATTTGTTTATGTTTCGGCGGTAATGTTTAATTCTTTGAATGATTGTTGATGAATGTGGTGTGTTTGTGATTTTTTTTTCATATTACCTGTGAAGAAATGAAAAAATTTTTCATCTGAAGTAATTCTTACTTAAGCAGTCTAAATAAAATATCTGCGATAATTTTTTGTAATCTTCTGAGATATAAAGGAAGTTTTTCTTTATATTTTTTTCATTATTATTTTTTCATTTTTTCCATTATTTTTTGTTGACTTATCGAATGTTTTTACAAATTTTATATTATATAATTTTATTGTTTTTGTATATTTCCTTACTTTTTAAAATCGTTTTTATTTTATTTATAATTTTTTATTTTAAAATAACGTAATATATAGAAGTCCACAGAATCTTTGTCTTATTATTCTCTACAGTTCTCTGAGGAATTCCCCATTTAGTCTTGGAAGGGTCTAAGCCATATACTAAATATATTCCTGTAAATTATGGCAGCTACTTGGTTATGTTTTTCAGTCTGTTTGCATTTTATATCTTATATGTTGGACTTTTTCTGGGATTTTTGCATAGTTTGCATCCTGTATCTTCTCAATGCAATGCCTCAATGTTGGTCCGACTTTTAGTCCTGCTTTCTCCAACCACTGGAAAATGTCAGCTACTTCAGCTACCTCTGTTGATGGTGCAGTCCATGGTATCACCATTGTATTTCCTTTGCTTGATGTTCTTTGTATGTCTGTCATATACTCCAGATATGCTTTCAATGACTCATCCTTTGGTAAAACTTCAGGCTGGAGTAAGCTTGTCCAAGAATCCGGGTGATTCTGGCGACTCATTTACACTTCTGTCGCCAAGGGATTCCTCGTTGCGGAGCAAGTTTAATGGTAATGATGAGTGCTTTAAAAATATATATTATATATTTATATATGATTATTAAAATATATATTTGAAAAGTTCTTATGAAACAAATAAATAAATAAAATTAAAATAAAATCTTTTCTATTGTTTATTGTTTTGAATGAGTCTATGAAATATTAAGAAAATAATTGCTCTATTTTCTGAATTTTTCTTAAGGTTTATTGCATATCTGGCAATTTGGAGCGTCAACCGTTGTTAGTGGAAGATTGGACATTGGAAAACGATTTTGCTTTACCTTCATTGAATAGTTGTTTTTTAATTTTATTTATCTTCAAAAATCGTGCGAGAACTGAGAAAATTTTTATTTTACAGTTTAATAAAATATGAATTCTGAAAAATCTAATTAACCAAATTTTCAATTGTTTAATCTTGCAGGAAATTATAAGATGAACCAAATAGGTTTTGGTGCAGCTGTTCCACCAGATAAAAATTATGCCCAGTTGGTTGATGGTGACGACGTCATTCATATATTTGGTTATAGAACAAGTGCATCAAAGACAGTAATCTCTAATTTCTAATCTCTAATTTTTTAATTTTTATTCGGAATCTTTCACATTTAATTTAATATGCATCATTTTTGATTATTTCTCCAGTAGATGATACAGTGTTTTATAAAAAATTTTTTTAAAATAAACTGTAATTTGTTAATGGTGACCAAATGAATAAATAATATAGGTTTTAACATGGATTCTCACCATTCTAACATTTGGATTGTTTCGATTATTATTACATTGGTGTCCAAATTTGCTAATGTGGTGTACATCTTCTTCTTGTTCGCTTCACGTTGCAGATTACGTTTTCGTCAGGTGAATTTATTTTCTTTATTAAACTTTTAACAAGCAGAAATTTAACTCAGTAAAAAATATTTTCACTTTTTTTATGTTCATTTTTATTTTTAGAGATAGCCATATGAATGTAACGTCGCGTCCCATACATGTATTACGAAGTGGTGATGGTGATTATATTGCTGTTCCCATTGGTGGTTTCAGGATTACAAACGTCCATATGTTGCGTTACTTCACATACAAAAAATTAAAATATATTTGGTATGCAGAAGAAATGAGATTTATCGAAATTTCATCATTTGATGATGAAGTTAGTTAACCATTTTCATGATCATCTTTTTCTTTTTTTTTTCCTTTTTTGCTTGGAGAATTCATTCAGTCAAACGTTTTTAGAATAGTAAGATTATAAATGATATTGGTTTTTACAGGTGGATTTCACCTTTTTCCACAGTTTGGTTGAATGCGGTTTTTCATCGACCGATGTTTTAAAAAGGAGAAAAATTTATGGAAAAAATTTCATACAGATTAAACCAAAGCCTCTTTTTTTACTGCTTTTCAGAGAAGTGCTTACACCTTTCTATCTATTCCAGATCTTCAGGTTCATATATATTATTTGAGATTTAAACATTTTTTTTGCGTCAGCACAAATTTTTGATCGTTTATTATGTTTTAGTGTCACAGTTTGGTTTATGGATGATTATGAGATATATGCGAGTGTTATTGTAATCATGTCCATGGTGTCTATCGCTCTTGACATGTATCAAACTAGAAAACAAGAAAAAGGTCTTATGAATATGGTTCACACATCTGGTATTGTTGAAGTCGTAAGAAACGGTGGTCGAATGGAACAAGTTGGAAGCGATGAAGTAAGATTGATATATTCTGAAATGGTTTGAAAAATTATAAACAACGAATTGCACATATTTAAAATTAAATTATTAGAAATTCTATAAAATTGTTCATTTTCTCCTCCGTAATCTATTTTCTTAATATTGTTTTAATTATAAGAAAGTTTAATGGATAAGTTTATTGATGTTTTGATAGTTCTTGCGAAAATATCAACAATATTATGCCTTAATCTATATATTTTTTAATGTTACAGTTAGTTCCGGGTGATGTAATATTGATTCCTTCACATGGATGTAAGATGCACTGTGATGCTGTTTTGATGAACGGTACTGCGATTGTTAATGAATCTATGCTAACTGGTGAATCTGTTCCGGTCACTAAGGTTTGTATTATTTAAATAATTTTAATTCATTCGTTATTAATTCCTTTATGATTCTTAAATAATTTAGATTTTTAATAAAATTAGATGTGCTTTTCATTTTAATTCCGAGATTCTTTCACACAAAATAAAGTAAAATTTTTCACTTTCCATTAAGATTCACAAATTTTTCACATTTTTATTATTTTTGTCGGTTGTACTATAAATGATCAAAAAAATCGAATATCGATTATTCTTTTTTCATTAGTCAGATTTTCAGGTGGCACTGCCAGAGGTTGATGATGAATGCATTAATTTATTCACTATTAAGGAACATTCGAGGCATACATTATTTTGTGGTACCCAGGTTTTACAAACACGGTACTATAGTGGAAAACGCGTTAAGGTCAAACTTACTAATAAAAAAATGTTTTGATTTATCAGAATTCTGGTACTGCGAGATCAGCTTTGTGTATTTTATATATTTGTATATATATATAAAAATTGTATATGGTAAATAATTATATATACATATATTTCTCACAGTTTTAAAGAGGTCACTTTATAGGCAATCGTACTACGTACTGCTTATTCCACTTTAAAGGGTCAGTTGGTTCGTTCTATAATGTATCCGAAACCTGTTGACTTCCGCTTCACCAAAGACCTGTTTAAGTTTGTCGGTTTCTTGGCATGCATTGCAACCATTGGATCCATATACACTCTTGTGGTGATGATTTATCGTGGAAGTTATTTGCGTCCAATTATTATTCGTTCTTTAGACATTGTTACGATTGTTATACCGCCTGCATTACCAGGTTTAGTATATCTCATTTTTCCATATTGTATTCTCTCATGCCCTTAAAATCTCTGTGTGGATATATTGGAAAATAGTTATTGCCATAGCTATTAATAAAGACATCGAACTGTATGCATAATATATGTCGGATAAGCATTAAACACTTTTATTTTGCTTCAATAGCAATAAAATATGATAATTTTAACCATAATTTTTTATACCATAATTTTAACATAATTTTTTTGTCTGAATATATATGGTATAGGTAGGTATAAGATGGGTCCCCATCACCATCTGAACTTTTTTTGAATGTTATTTTTTAAAATAATAAATAATTTATTTTTTTAATTGACAGAATCAAATCCTTGTTTTTAAAGTTTTAAATCTAACAAAAATTTTGCCCATATATATAGATTGTTTTTCAGCTGCAATGAGTATAGGAATATTGGCAGCTCAAATTCGTCTACGAAAGAAGCAAATTTTTTGTATTTCACCTTCAACAATCAATACTTGCGGGGCAATTAATACGGTAATTAAAAATTCAAAATTTTCATCTTATCTAATTTCATCTGTATATTCTTTATAAATTCTTCAGGTATGTTTTGATAAAACAGGGACATTAACTGAAGACGGTTTGGATTTCCATTGTCTCAGGCCTGTAAATCGCTTTGGAATCAAACCTTATTTTGAGGGTGAGATTGATACTTTCAATTCAATAAAGCTGATACAGTATGGAGAACTTATCAAGGCAATTTCTTGCTGTCACAGCCTAACGAGGTTCAAAATTTATTTTTATATCTTAAGTTTTTTTTCAGAATTATCTTTATTGTTTTTATTTCTTACTTCACAGGATACATGATAAGTTGTGTGGCGATCCACTTGATATCATTCTATTCAAGAATACGGGATGGTACTTGGATGAAAATATATGCAGCAAAATAGATGAAACAGATCGTTTCGACCTTCTTCAACCAACGGTCATTCGCAGTTCTTCGGATCATACGAGTTTTTTTGGGGAAATTGAACTCTCTATTATTAGGCAATTCACATTCAGGTTATTTTGACTAATTTTATTTTTTAAATAATAATACTAATTCTATAATACTAATTTTTTAAGTAATTCCTGTTTTATAAGTACTAGAAATTTTTTTATTTATAAATTCTTTAAATAAAAGGAAAGTTTAAAAAATTAATTTTTGTTCTATATTCGCCGTTCTGATTAGGTGGGCTTGTCAGGCTAATTTCGCTCGTCGATGTTCCGAAATGAATAACACTGATTAAATTTTAAAAATAATTAAAAAATTAATAAAATTAATTAATAAAATAGACAAAATTAATAAAAAATTTGAGAACCATGCCTTTTCTTGCGTTAATTTGCATTTAAGTTTATAATTTAATAGAGCTCGTTGTTTTTTCAATTATTCGTTCATTCTTCAAAGGAATTTATATCTTTGTTGAATTGGTGATTTAAAGATGAAATTTTTGCATAGTTCTCACTCGTCATAAATATGTAATATGTCATTCCCTTTAATATATTTTTACTTTTGTTTCAGTTCGTCACTACAGCGAATGAGCGTTATTGTACACAATCCTAAGGAAGAATCGCGGAGTATGTCTATTTATTGTAAAGGATCTCCAGAAATCATTGCGTCTCTTTGTCGCCGAAACACAATTCCGGAAAATTACACGGTACTTTCCACAAACTTGTTGCCAATGGATGTTTGAAATTGTTAAAGGTAATCTTTAAAATTTTCACTTTTTTCAGAACGTCATCAATGAATATGCACAGCATGGTTATAGGTTGATCGCCATAGCTTATAAAGAGTTGTGCATTAGTTTTGCCAAATCGCAGCGTGTAAAACGAGAATCGGTTTGTATATATATATATATATATATATATATATATTTCGTTTTTGCTATCGCTATTTTTGATGAATTTTTATATTAACTAAATTAAGTGCATTAGAATTTTTATTGTTAATTTCTTCTTTTGACAGAATGTTTATTGTTTGTGAAATCTTGGCAATTAATTTTTTTCAGAAGTTCGAAAATTTTTTTAAAATTTAAAATTTTTAAAATTTTTTTGCAATCTGGATAAACTTCAATTTTAAGGTTGAGTGTGACTTAGAATTACTCGGTATCATAATCATGGAAAATAGACTGAAACCACAGACAATTGGTGTGATCAATCAATTAAATAAGTACCTTTTCTGATATTTTCATATCCCAAATTTCTTTTCCTATAATTATTATAATTCAGTAGTTCTCGCGAACTAGAGGTTTCAAGTCCGCAAAATCAAAATGTAGCGAAATGAAATATTGCGTTGGATTTGCTTGCTGATTCGGATTCGGATATTTACTACTAAGATAAGATCAGCTTATTTGCGCCGATTTGTAATACGAGATGGTGCAACAGTATAACAGTACTTCATCGAATTATAGTAACAGTATTATAATAACAACTGAAGGAATGCATGGCAGTATCCATCGGAGGAGAATAATGCAAAATATATAACTATATATAACTTAAGTATATAAATATATAACTTAAGCTTATTATAAGCCTATTATATAACTCAAGAACTGATAGGTTCGCTGAACCATATGCTTACAACTTCGACAGAAGAAGAAATAATATCTGTTATCCATAAGCTTAAGACCAATAATATTCCGGGAGAAGATGGTCTTCCAAACAATTTAAATCTATCGTCCTTCATAACACACCTTCAGCAAATGTACTCTCTGGTATGGGGAAAAAAAAATGTTACCAGATGATTGGAGCAAAGCAATTCTGAAGAAAGGTGATAGGACATATTGCGACAATTATCGAGGAATAAGCCTACTAGACGTCTCAGCGAAAATTTTTACTTCCCTGCTACTCAACAGACTTATGGAAGTACGGGACAGCAGGATGCGCCCTAATAAGCTGGTTTCAGACCAGGGTGCTGTTATGCTGACCAGATATTCACGTTAAGAAGGGTGTTGGAACATCGTTTCAGATATTTGCAACCTACTGTCACGTGTTTCATCGACTTTGCGGCTGCCTTTGATTCAATTGATAGAAAGGCGCATTGGAGGGATGGAATGCGACGGTGTTCCAGAGAAAGTCATTCGACTCACAAAGACATTTTATCAGCGTAAGTGGGCGCAGATCTATGTATTGGGAACTGACTTTTTAGACATAAGAACTGATGTCCGCTTCCTTTCCTCTACATTATTTAACTATGCAATAGATTGGATAATAGACATCACTTGTCGGCATCGAGAATTATACAAATCAGTCCGGAGCATAATATCATAAACTCTAATGATTTAGTCCTTTTTGCTGTTACGACGAAATGCTAATGCAAATAGTGCTAAGCAATTGTAATTGCAACGAGAATCAGACTCAGGACCAATGTAATTAAACCGAGTCTTTTCGTCTTACCAGAAGCTGGCGAAATATCTGATTTTATCACTTTATTCCCAGTTGAGAAGTGCCAGATTTTAAATACTTTGGGTCCACTCTAATACCAAATGGCCAGCCAAAAGACGGCATTATAGCCCGGATCACGATAGCTAGAAATGTTTTTCTGCTTGACGAAATATTTATGAAGCCGTCGTGAAATTACCATTAAAATGAAAGTCTGCATCTATATAACCGTGATTCGTTCGATTTTGTCATATGGCTCTGAGACATTGCCAATGAAGTGGAGGATATTAAGAAGCTATCTTTCTTTGATCACTCTTGTCTAAGGTATATTTTACGGGTCCATCGAGCGGATAAAATATCACATGATCGCATCCAGCTTCATTCGGACACCACCTGTATTAATAATATTATTGCAGAGTGTCGCCTTCGGTGGTTAGGTCACGTTCTCCGTCGTCCACCACAGGAGTAGTCGCATATTTCGTTACTTGCTATTTCGTTACGTATGATGATTGGCGTCAAAAGCGAGGTGAGCCAATTAAGACCTGGGCTGATACGGTCAGGAAAGATTTTGAAGGTATAAGTGGACCAGCGATATATGGACTTAGACGATGAAAAAGGAATGGCTTCTATTGCTGTTGACGATGGCATCAGACTGCGCCGCTTGGAAGCATCTTACCCTTGTAGCTGTTGGAACCATTCTAACGAGTAATGTGAGAGTAATGGTTAGAAGAAGAACTTATTATACCACCAAAGGCCTAAAACCTTTCCATCATTCGCTGCTCTGTGACTACTCGTAACACTCCGGCTGTCCTAATTCAGGATATTCACTTATAAAACACTCTGGTAACACTCCGGCTATCCTAATTCAGGATATTCACTTATAAAACATAAAACTATTGTTCACACTGGGCTAATTATTTGGTGGAATTCGATCAGGTGTCAGGTGTTGATTTTAATGAACATTGTAAAGAAAATTATAATAAAATAAAGTATTATAATAAAAAAATAAATAAAATAAAACAATTTTTTTAATAAATATGAAAGTGTTCTATTAAAGCATTTATAATGAATAAAAATAAGAAAAGAGATTGAATTAGTAATGTTGAATTGAATAAATCGAATAACTAATTTTTTTATAATGATATTAATACATAATTTTTTTTTATAATCAAGCTGTTATAAATGCTTTAAAATCATTTTGTTTAAAATTTTGAATTTTGAATTTTTGAATTTGAATTTTGAATTTTCAGTTGAATTAAATTTTCAAATTGAATTGTTTAAACTTTAAAATTATATTAATGCTTTAAATTTATTTTGTTTTATTAGTTTTCTGTTCGGGCAATGTTCTTTGCGTCAAATGACTGGCATTAAGTTTAATGTGTTTCGGAATTTATTTTCTATTTAGAGCAAGAATTAGGACAATAATGGTTACTGGTGATAACGTTCTAACAGCAATGAGTGTTGCTCGTGAATGTGGAATAATACAGCCAAGAAAGCGAACATTTTTGGTTGAATTATTGCATGATGGAGCGGGTGATGGGTCCAAAAAATTGGTTTTAAAACCGGTATTTCTTTTTTTTACTATTACTATTACTATTTATTATTTTTATTTCTTTTTGATGAATTGTTTACCTAAAAAATATTTTTAAATCAAGAATTAATCATTATTTCCTTTCTTTTTAAATAATTTTTTTTTAAAACAATTTTATGCATGATAGACATAATGATGAAATATAATTTCAGTCAGTATCATCTTCGGAAAGTGTTGTGGACGATAATTTATCGTACGATGACTTAGAGCTTGGCTACTTGGTCAGTTCCAGTTATCAGTTAGCAGTAACAGGTTTGTTTTAAATTCTGTAATTTAGTTACCAATTAGAAGTCGCGGATTTTTTTCTTTAAAACCTTTAAAACCATTTTTGTTTTGTATTTTAATTTGATTGCTAAATTATCAAAAGTAGACATCGGCGTAATTATTTTATATAATTAAATTTTGTTCATTTCAAATTTGTTTTGTATTTTTGTCGTATTAGCATTAATTTTTTTTGAATAAAAATACCATATCTCAAAGCATTGAACCTGAAATTATTTTAGGTCCAGTTTTCTCGCTGATTTGTCATGAATATCCGGAATATGTCGATAAGCTAGTAGCCGTCTGCGATGTTTTTGCGCGTATGTCTCCAGATCAGAAACAATTATTAGTGAATAGATTGCAGGAAATCGATCTAACAGTTGCCATGTGCGGTGATGGTGCAAATGATTGCTCTGCACTTAAGGTTTTTTTTGATTACATCATAAATTTATTTGATTATATCTCATAGCTTTGCGAATAGTTGGGATAGTTTATATCGGTTTTTTTCCTATAATCATGCAAATTTAGTTAAAATTACTTTCATTCATTTAATCACAAATATTTTTTTGCTAATAGAATTATTTTGATTGAATAATTTTAACTAATTACTTTTTTAACTAATTTTACTGTATTTTTGCACAATTGGCTACAGGCAGCCCATGCTGGTATTTCGCTTTCTGAGGCTGAAGCATCGATAGCTGCTCCTTTCACTTCATCAGTTCCGGACATACGATGTGTGCCTATGATAATTCGAGAAGGTTTTGTTCCTACTTTATATCTTTGCCTTTATTTAAATCTATCAGAATTAATTAATGAATTTTTTCACAGTTTTTATCTTGTTGTGGAGTTTTCAGGTCGCGCAGCTTTGGTGACTTCATTCGGGGTCTTTAAATATATGGCGGGTTATTCTTTAACGCAGTTTATTACAATTATCCATCTTTACTGGATTAGTACGAATTTAACTGATTTTCAGGTCTTTTCTCTTAATGAATTATTAACATATTTTTTAAAAATCTGTTTGGATGATAGCACGAGAGAGTCAATTGGGGTTCGAAGTATAGGTCCACAGCATCGGCTACCTGGATTTTACTTTTAATGATAGATTTATCTCCGTTGAAAGGTAGAAATCAAACATGTAATGTTAATCCGTGACCTTAATCAAATTCGACTGCTCGTCCATCTTATTGCTTTTTAAATAGTGAATATCGTTCTTCTTATCAGTTTTTTTTCAGTTCTTATATATTGACTTATTTCTGGTCACATTGATTGCTCTTTTCTTTGGTAATACGCCTGCTTGCGAAAAGTTGCATATAAACCCGCCTCCAACGAAATTGTTGTCCTTAGGCTCTGTATTATCCATTATCGGCCAATTGTTGATTGTTTTTTTCTTCCAAGTTGGTCATTTTCATCAAATTTTATGAAATTTTATAATCGATTTGTTTTTATATTCTAATAGCAAACATACGAGAGGCAATTGAAACTGGCATTCTTTTCAGAGTTTTGTATTTGTTTTTACTGCTTTGCAACCATGGTTTAATGTTTACATCTCAAAATTTGATGATACTCCTGAGGATAAACGTAGCATGCAGGTCAGTCATTTTCTTTACACATTTTCTTCATTTTTTTATTGAGGGGACATTGGCTTATTCATTGTCTTGTCTTTAACTTTTTTTTTTAAATTTTATTTTTATTTTATTTTAGGGAACGGCTGTTTTTTGCGTGTCCATGTTTCAATATATTACTTTGGCCGTTGTTTATAGCAAGGGTTTGCCTTATCGGAAAACGATTTTTAGTAATTGGCCATTGCTGACGAGTTTAGGTAAATTTTTCTTTTTCTTGTGAATTATATCTTATAATCAAATTTCTCTTTCTTCAAAATTTGCCTTTTTTGATTTATGTTGTTTTGAGATATCACTGGATCTTTTCATTTTAAATAATTAAATTTGAATATTTGTTTTCAGTTGTGCTGGCTGCAGTATCTACTTTAATTTGCCTATATCCGCCTTTTTTCATTATTAGTATAATGGAACTCGATGCCATACCTGAATTCGGTTATCGTTTATTTTTGTTAATTATTGCTGTTATCAGCGCTGTGTGTTCTTATCAATTTGAAGTCTTCTTTATTGATCATGTTATTTTGAACATACGGGAAAAGTAAGCAGTATATCACTTCTTTCTTGGTTATCATTTTAATCTTTTAAAAGCAATCCTTTTTGGCATAACTGGCTTAAATCTTATTGGCTATAATTACGAATTATGCGTTAAACATTTTTTTGCTCAGTTTGCTTCTCCCATATTGTTATATTTCAGTATTAATGAATTTCATATACATTCATTCAAAGAAAATTTCCGATATTACTACTAATAGTTATATTAAATTTACAGGTGGAAAAAAAAGAGAAATTTGAACGTTGGGTCGTCTAAATCAAATAGATTTGAAAAAATCCTTCGTGATATTGGGTCTGAACCTTCATGGATTTTACCGATTTCTTGTGATCATTCATCTTCTTCAACCTTGATCTTTAGTGAAATTTCGAACAACTCAGATGGTATTATAATCGTTAAATTTAATTTTATTTTTATTTTAAACTGAATTGAAGGTAATTATTACTGAAATCTCGCTTGAAATGAAATGAAATGAATGAAATTATAATTTTAATTAATTTTAATGCTTTGCTTTCTTAGGGTGAGATTTGGAATCAAATGAGAATGACGATCAAGTGTGGATCGAGTATCATTATGAAATAATAATTTTTTTCCTTATAAATTAACTGATTTTCTCAAATTTCTATAGGAATCAGTTGTTTTTTTTGGAGACACGATTGTTTTTTGATGCCTTTTTCTAGTCGTAATAAAATGATTAACGAATGAGCAAGATTGTTTCAAATGATCGACTATCATTAATATAGTTGGAGCATAATTTTAAGATATATTTTTTGTTGTCTCCCTTACGCTTTTTATATTCATATTTCTTCAAATATTTTCATCATTTAGTTGCTAAATCGAAGAAAAATAGGTCCAAACTCATCACTGCTTTATAATATTTATTTATTTATTTATTGAATATCAAGTAGGATAGGAAGCACCATATGCCTGCGTTAATAACAAATCATAAAAATTAATGATAAAAAAAGAAAATATGGCAAAAATAAATAAATAGAGTTACAAAATAGTATAATTCGAAGTGAATGTGTTATACATAATCGAATAGTGAAAACAAGATTTCAAACTTCTTTCTTGGTTGTAATATAATTATCCTACAAAAATAGCTAAATGATTAAGCTAATCTAACCGTTTCCGTTTCGGCTAACCGTTTCGGATTTTTTAATATTGTCATACATAAATCATTGTGGTCACCTTATTTTCTTTTTCTTTTTAGTGATTTTTTTCGTCCTCTGCAAAACTTATATCAAAAGTAAGATATAGAATATAGAAGTAGAATACAAAATTAAAACTTAAATATAATTTTTAGAAAGTTTGATCAGCAAATATTTGCAAAAATTTCAGCATAATCGTAAAACATTTAATCGTGATCACTATGGTTAACTTTACTCTGCTAGCTGTCGAACTAGTCAAATTTTTATCAGGGAATCACTTGGCGATCTAAATATAGGTAAGTGAGAGCGTCACTCGGCATATCTGCATTTATGAACAACAAGGTTTCCATTTAATAGTTTGAATTAGGATAATTAAATATTTAAATGATAGCTCTAATGATCTCTTTGAATTCTATGGCTCTATGAATGGATCGGTAATTTCTTATAGCTAAAGTCATTTGGTTTAAATATTCCATCCAATTATTTAGATATACTGGTGAAATATGGAAGAAAATGGTCTATTTGTAGAAATTATTGCGAATAATATTCTATGGGTCCGACTGGAAATAACCGTCCACGCAGGATTTCCGCGGTTTACTAAATCTTGTTTAATAACACATTAATAACACTAATAAAAATTTGAATGAAGGTGGCTGGTGAGGAATAATGAAGGTTAATTATCATAACATTATTACCCTAATGTACAATAAAAATAATAAGAGCGAATAATAAAAAGATGTGACGGGCGAGACTTATATACCCGAACCTACTCGCATCTCATCGACAATTCATCATTAATTTATTAGCTGGAATCTTTATTAAAATTGTAGTTTGCCTTGTATATTATATGTTATATATATTATATATGGCCGTAAAAAAATACAATAAATAAATAAAATATCAACAAAGGGTATTTTAAAGAGCAGTCAAGGAATGAGAGAATATAAAAACGGAAACAGATTTTCGCTGATCGTCAAAGGATGTTCAGAAACATTTAGAAGACACGGCGTCAGAAGCTAAATACAACTGAATTTCAAGGAATAATTAATAACAGTGATAACTGATGATAAAAAAAGTTTACGATATGCAAAATCGAATGCTCTATATGCAAACATTTCTTAAAATATCAAAGCAAAATTCACGAATTCCTATGGATACAATCAAGTAAATGACGGTTGCTTTAGCAATCCGTCCGCTTCATTCTCCGCTAATAAGATTCTGATTTATTTACTTAAATAAAAACTGTTTGTTCTACATTTTTTGGATTAAATAAATCTTTTGTGAAATTTTGTTTCTTTAAAATGCAAAAATTTATTCGGAATATATAATTAAAAACTAGTGGAATAATAATCAATTAATCACTCTTCTCAACGGGAACAACAAGAAGCAATTTCTGCAGACCTAACGTACATGAATCTGCAATTAATCTTTTATCGACAAATTTAAAATATTTTTAATCATATTTTAATCGCTTATAAAATTTCACTATTTCGTCATTTTGCATATTATTAATGTTATTTATTCGCTTCTAATAAAATCTATAAAAGTGATATAAAATCTATAAAAGGTGGAGAAACTCGATTTCTACTCAATTCGATAGTTTAGATGATTTAATAAAATATACCCATAAATTCGTTTACGAAACCCAATTTTCGTGACCAATAAACAAATATCATATACGCTGGAATCCCCGTTAACATTATACCAATTCCAATCGCTGAAAGGAATTTCTTTTAGGCATTCACGAAATAAACGAAAACTGAATAACTAAGTAGCTTATATCAGACAAACAATAAGGACAGATGAAAGAGAACCTGTGTCAACTGGTGCTTGATATACCGGGAAAACAACTAAAAAGACACATCCAGCGAAAAAAATTATTGGCCATGTTAAATTGACTTTCAGAGGCCTTGGGTATTTACGTGGAGGTTGTTTTATTCTATAATTAAGGTTACTTTATAATCAAAAGAGAAATATATCTTAGATTGAAATAAACCTCTTTCATAATTGTTTTTGAAATGTGTAATCCGGTTTCCAAATTTTTCTATAATCGTCGTTGCAATAAAAATCAAAATATTTTCCAAGGATCTCCAAATATGCTAAATAAACTTTTCTCACCCCCTATGAGTGGTCGTCTTCTACCAAAAGCCTGGGAGACTAACGGTTCTGCACAATAGCTATGTTCTTCTAGATAGAGGCCTCTGATGTTCCTGGAATCTGCTGAAACCACCTTTCTAGTTTAGAGATTTCCAAGTGCTTCAGTTATCGCTGAAATTACTTTATTTCCCACATCTTCTCCAGTGTTTCTTCTTTCAGCTCTTTGTATTTATCTAATTAATTCTTCCTGACATTTCTATCATAAGGTATTACTATATCTGTCACCAGCGCTAATTTCCGATTCTTGTCTACTACCACGATATCTGGTTGATTGGCCAGTAACTGTCTGGATGGAGAAATCCCATAGAATCCTCACCTTATTCCCTACGATTTTTTGAAGGATTTACGGAAGAGTTACGGAAGAGAATCTAAGCCACTGAGCAGATATTCCTGTAGAAGATGTCAACTACTTGATTATGCGTTTCAATATTTGTTTCCCCTGTATTACATCCTACCTCTATATGTTGGATATGTTTCTGGAGCATTTTTGTATAGCCTGCATCCTGTTAGTGTGGTAGATCCTTGTTTCGATGGATCTGGTATTTAATTCTCCACTCCTGTGCTGCTATAATCAATGCCTCAGTGCTGCTTTTTAGTCAGGCTTTCTCCAACCACTGGTAGTGTTTCACATTATCAGTTACCTCAGCTATCTGCCGATGCTGCAATCCATGGAGGGCCTTCCCCATGGTGTTTCCTCTGCTTGACCGTTTTCCAATATCTCATATCATAAATATATGTTTTCAGCAACTCATCCTTTGGTGTCATCTTGCTATATGTCCTGATGGCAAGTCCAACCTATCAATCATTGCTACCTTTTTTCTCTTTATTATCATCTGACAACATTTCTCTTAAGGTTTTCTCCTTTACATACAAAAAAATGTATTTGTGCATACTTATTATTTATGGTAATTCTTTTAAAATTTAAAAAAAGATAGGTAAATACTAAAATGCTGCTGCAGAGATACAAAAAATGGAATTTTTCATAAAAAATGTTGAATGAAATAAATAAGGTAAAAAAAATGAAATAAAAAATGCATATAATTAATTAATTGATTACTCCTTCTATTAAAAATGTAAATCTTTGAATGATTTTTGTTATTTTCGATAAATTAAAGTTAAAAAAATATTTGGAAAGTATTATCATCATTCATTCATCAAATGTTTTCTTTATATTTTATTTTAAAAATTAAAAAATTAAAAAATTAAAAAAAAATTAAAAATTTAAAAAAAATTCCTTTTTTTCTAAATCTATTACTCTTCAATCAAATATTCATTTTTCAAATTTTAAATGAAAATAAATTTATTTATCAAATGAAGGAAACCTTAAATAAAATAATCCAGCAATCGCAATACCAATAGCCAACCAATTCACTATTTGTACGTAATTAATTAACGTGTAAATATTATCGGATAATAACAAATATGCCATTGAAAAAACTGCCTGAAAAAGTTAAGCGAAGTATTAATAAAGTATTAATAAAGCGATGTATTAGTTTATATTTCTTAGACCTTTTCCTCGATTTTTTTGCCAAAAAATCCATCAAAAATTCCTTAAAAAGTGAATATCTAATAATTCATTCATCGTTATTAAAACTTTTTTCAGTAATAAAAAATGTTTTTTTTATCAGTTTTTATTTTAAAATATTTTTCGAAGATTTCAAATATTTAATATTTAATATTTATTTAATATTAATATTTTTTACGCAAGAAAATGAACAATGAATCAAATATTTATTTTCTATTTTCTATATTTAATTGTTCCTTATTTTTTGTAAAATGCGAAAAGGAAAAACATATTCGAATTCACTTCATAACTTTTAAAATTTTTAAACGGTTTTCGAACTTTAAAATTTTGTTCGATTACTTTCAGTCAGAATTACGATTTATTCAAAAACTTTAACCAATGTTTTGTAGTAATATACCGTAAACAAAACAGCTGGAATTGGTGTATTGAAATAAGGATTAATAAAGCTTAAAACCCACGGCATATGTTTATGGCGTCCAGCAACGAAAAATAACCTGCAAAAACGAATAATAATAATAATAATAATAATAATAATAATAATAATAATAATAATAATAATGATAATAATAATAATGATAATAATAATAATATATATAATAAATTAATGTTAGACATCGAATAATTTTAGACATTAAGAAATTATTTAAGATCTTCAACTATCTCCAATTTTAATTTAATTTATCGACATTAGTTATAAACTGTGAGCATGTGATAATAATAAGAAATATATTTACACGTTAAAACTGGCAAATATTCTAGATTTCTTCACCAAATTAAATCAAGTATAGACTGGTTTAACTGGATCCACTGGCTAATGTGATAAAAATTCCTTAATTTGAAGCTAAAATTGCAAGTAGATCCTCACCATCATACGAATTTCCCTTTTAATTTTCTTTTTGCTCATGTTAAGCGAACCTATGACGTCTCGATAGTCAAAGCAATCGTTCGACTAAAAAACCAACTGGTATAACTAATTATAAAATGGCGAAATTTGAACAAAATGAAAGTTCATTTTTTATGATCGAAAGCATTTTATAGTGAAGATTTAATAGACCTAAGATGAAACGATGATTCCAAAATTTCTTCATAATCATCTAATCATCTTATTAATAATTGACTGATAATAATCATAAGTGAGGAAAATACGGACCTAATTTAGTGGCAAATGAATTACTAGGTTACTAAGCATGACAGCTAGTCGGAATGAAAATTAAATCAACTTCCTATTACCTTGATGTGGTGAGCATGACGCCATTTACGGTTCCAAAGCATGATGCTGCAACAAGTACTGGCATTATCCAAGCTACAACACCATAATATTTGTCTGCAAAATCTACTGCTATAGCATTCGATTCTAGAAGTTCTTCGAGTGTTGTTCCTGAAAAATTAGCCAAAAATTTCCTACACTGGTAGAAATTGATATATGAGCTTAATTAATATCCAACAGGCTCTTGTCGTCTGATTATCACCGAATAAATGAAAAAAAAACTTTGAATAGGATTTTGCAACAGTTCAAAAAAAAGGGTAACTATGACTGATTTCAACTTTTACCAAAAATCAAATTCCAGACAATTCACCAACTCTCTCTCTTCCCTCAAAAAATATGCCTTGAACAAAAAATTTCTCGCAGAATCGCTGACAATTAAATAAAAAACGTTAGAAAATTAAAAAATTAAAAGTATGAATAAATTTTCAAGTCAAAAAACGAATCAGAATTTTAGTTAGGAGGACAAAAAACATAATAAGCTGAAATTTACCTGCATAAAATGCAATGTTAGTTAAAGTATAAATAATCGTACAAATTGAACAACTAATGGCGATTGCCCGAGGCAAATTTCTGAAAATCATTTACGTTATAGGATCATTGTTCATTGATAATGTTCAACGATAACTTTTACGAGAAGTAAATTAAAATTCGTTATTAGTACAAATTACAACAGAAAAAAAGTAAATAATGCTTTCTATACGTTTTATTTAAGAAATCATATAATGGTTTACATTTAATGCGAAAAGACTTATTATAAGCGGAAAGCGATCAGAAATCGCGATTTTTTCATTTCTTCATTTTATATTATTCTTTCATGAATCAAAAAAAAGAAAAATGATGCAAAAAATATTTCAAATAATAGTTTAACAAACTTCAATGGGTCGATAAGTTCTTCGGTAATAAAATTCAAATAATTCCAACCATTATAAGCCCATAATCCAGAATAAAATGCAAGAGCAATGTTGCCAGGATCGAAATTACTGCCTTCCCAAAGATTTTCAAATGAATCGCGGTAGGCTTAACATTAGTTACATATATATATATATAAAAGTTTTGATAAAAATTGGCATTTCAAATGAAATTAAATATCGCAAAATACTTACGATCTCCCATTATGAGAAGCACGATACCAGTTGAAATAATAAGAACCAAAGCAGCTAACTTCGCAATCGTGAAAAAATTTTGTATAAATGATACAAATTTAACGCTTAAACAGTTAACCAATGCAAGTAGTGCTGCAATAAATATAAACTTATATTTATATTGCAGTCTCTTAAGCTTTCAATGAATATTTTGGTAAAACTTACTAATACATCCAGCTGCCAGAAACTGAGGAGTTAAATTTGGCATGCCGCAATGTCGAAAAGTTGGCTGTAAAATATAAGTAGCGAATGTTATGGCAACAGCAGTTATCGTACAAGGCCTTAAATACAAAACACAACATCTACGATTCGTAGAGCGAAAAAGGAAAGAAGATTCGTTAATCATTTTTTTAAAGACATTGCTCACTTTGAACATAGAAATAGATGAGATATGAAAGACAAAGGTTTCTCCTAAAATTCCCTAAAATTTCTTTTTAAACTTTTTTCACTTTCAAAATAATGAAAAAAACGCACAAAATAAGAAAGAATAGTCGAACAACAATAGTCAATAGTCAAAATAAAAGTCAAAAAATTCACCTGACAATAATGCATTCAATCCACATACGCAAAAATCCCATCATAGGTCCAAATGCAGCCATAACGTATGCATAATCGCCTCCCGACGATTTTATAAAAGTACCTAATTCTGCATAACAATAGGCACCGATTGCGGAAAAAGCACCACAGATCACCCAAATTACTAATGACCAGCCAACAGATCCTGCGTCTATAATCTTTGCTAGTTTTATTAAATAGTATAAATATCTTATAAATAGTAAATCATGGATCTGCTTGAAAGTTTTTCACGTAAGAGCATCAAAAAATAAGAAATAATTTAGGGGGGGGGGGGGTGGAAGGCAATTCTAAACGACCTTTCAAATTTTCAAATGATGACTAATTCTTACTTTCATGAACCCCTTTTGGCGAAATGAAAATACCGGAGCCAATGATACAGCCAACGATGATCATAACGCCACCAAAAAGACCGATTGTTGGCTTTAAGCCCACCTAAAACAAAGAAGCGCTAGTTAACGTTGCATTTAGTATATTAAATATTTAATCATCTTTTGATGATCAATAGGGATTGCACTTAACATGCATAACAATTTATACATTATATATAACATACTGCTGCATACTGTATTGCTAACTGTATTGCAACAGTTCTGCATATCTAATTTAAATTTAAGCAAATGCTGTTAGAGTTTCTGTAATAATAATAACAGTGATAATGGTAATAATAAGAGGAGAAATGAATCTTTAGAACTTAAAGCTGCGATCAGTTTCACTGAAATTATTATTTTCACAAAGGCATGCATTAAAAGAAAGCTCACTTGTTCTGTAGAATCTTTTGTTGGTGATTGATAAACTGGTTCTTCTTCTTCCCTCATCACTTTCATCTATTAAAATATATGCATATCACAAACTGAATCTCAAAGTCTGCTAAATATTCAATTCAAATAGAAACCGCAGTGGGAAAAAATTTAAAACATTTTATTAAAACATTCTATTATTAATATTATTATTTATTATTATTATTAAATATAAAACGATTAAATGGCATAATTTTACAACAGAAACATTGTGGCGTTTAACAAAAAATGGAAAGATGGATCGAAATAATTTCCTATTTTTCTTATTTTCTTATATTTCTTCCTAAACAATTTTTTTAGAATTAAAGTACAGTCATCAACGTATTTTATGCAATATTTGCTTTATAATATTGCACTTTATGAATATTCGTTACAAGTTTTTTTGAAAGATTGTTTGCGTATAATGCCGAAAAAACGACGAATATAATAAAAGTATTAAAAAATGGATGTAATAAATGTTATTAAAGTACTTCGCGTTCATGATATTACTAATAGAATAATTCACTTATTTTGGTTTATTTGTGATAAGACAAATTTTGATAAAAAAATAATCGAAATTGATGGCAATAACAAGTTTAATAATAAGAAATTTCTCATAATTTCCCACAATTTCATATTTTACATTTTCGATTTTACCACGAATTTTATATTTTACATATAAAAAAATAAAAAATGAAACAGTTGTTACAAAAAAGATAAAGAATTCGTGCTATAGAATGCTGAAAAATGAACAAAGCAAATAAAAGCACACTCAAAATAAATGTTCACCACACAGCAATAATTTATGATAAAATTATAATTTGGCTTAATGCTAAGCCAACAATCAAAATTTGAAGGACATTTATTAAATTTAATTAAGAAAATTTGCTCAATAGAGTAAATTAGATGAAATTAAAGGAATAATGATGGTGATGATGGTTGGTAATTGGTAATTAAGGCTGGTGACCGGTAACTGCCGATGGTGATAATCGGATTCTTTTCAAGTTTATCGAAGAGCACTCAAGCGAATCACATCTAATTTTCTATAAATCGCACGACAAATTTCAAATATGAGAAATAAAACAAAAATTTCATTAAAAAAATAATAAGAAAATTATAGACAACGATATGTAGAAAAAAGGAGAAATTCGGATATTAATTAAAATGCTATGGGAAATGGAAACGATAAGATAAATTAAAATTCTCTTTTCTTTTGCAAATACATTTTCGTCAAAATTCTCTTTTTCCACAGTTAATTTCTCGCAAAATATTCTACGATGAAATTAACAAATATGCAAAAAGAATAAATAATGTTCATTCGAATAAAACTACTCGTTTTTTTCTATTTTTTAAAACCATATTTCCACTGAATTTTAAAATAATGTTAAAATTATTACTATATTCATTGTTATTATTGATCATCACTATTAATATTAATGTACTATTAACAAATTTTTTTGGTGGTAAAAGGTTTTTTGTTTCAATAATACAATTAATTTTTTCTGATTTTATCTGCGATTTTATTAAATTTATGTATCAAATTTTAAAAAGTCAAATTATATAATAATATATATAATAACAATAAATTAATAACAATATAACAATAATAACAATAATAATAATAACAATAAATTAATATATTAAAATTAATGGTAATATTTTTCCACAGTTAATCGATGTTTTACTAGCAAGGAAAACTGCCAACGAGAATAGTTCGGGTTCGAATCCATCCCACCCTGCTCAATCGCGCAGCAGTGGCGCTAAATAGCGGAAACAAAAAAGAAATAGAAATAGGTCAACGGTTTCTTCTGGAGTACCGATGCTGTGGTTCTACTCCGGTAATCCAGCAACAATCCATCAGAGTGGTGCTGGCGACTAACTTGCAGTTCTACCGCTTAGTGCTTCGAAAGATTTGCCTGGTCCGACAAGTCAGTGAAATGAACTAACCAGCACTGGTGAGTGCTTTCAGAAAGAGAATTCCAAGAACCAAGAATAACGGATTTTTTTCCACTGAAATAATTTCTTTATTTTTTAAATAAAAAGTAAAACTGTGCGTCATTTAAACATTTTCTCTGAATTTATTCATTATTACATAAATAATCAAAAATGATTTAAAATAAATTTGCGTTTATGCGCGTGCATTTACCACAAATTTCGTTGCAAACGAAAAAAAAATTTATTAAATAAAAAATTTGTTATAAGGCTTAGCACCGAAAGATACTTTAAAAAACAAACGAATTTGCTACGTCGATGGGAAAAAAAATAAAAAGTTCTGCAAAAAAATTCGTATTAAATAAAACAAAGTAATAAAATTTAGATTTCACTCGAGAACAATTAAATAAGTAATTTGAATAACTCATTCCAAGCAATAAGCCGATAAGCCAATAAGTGAAATTTCAGCAAATTTCAGCAAATTTATCGGAGAACAAAATTTATGAATCTGAAAAAGAAGTCCAGCGAGATTCAGAAAAATATCAAATGCATTCAGATTCACAACAGAAATGGCGATAAGGCTGAGGTGAGCTTCGATTGCTTTGATAAACGGCCTACAATAAAGAGCCGAAAAAAATAAGGCAATAGAGAGAAGCGTTTCTGAGCAGAAGAAATTGAATTTAGTTCGGACATGGATAGACAAATGGATAAATAGATGGATGCACAATCTTAAGCAAATTTGCATCACCATCGATCGACGTCGTTTTTATAAGATTTCAGCTCAAATTGCATCAAATTTTGCCTCTGATGCAATTATTAATAAATAAATAAATAATGGAATATGAAAACGATTCCAAAAGAATCTTAATTTGACGGAAATATATCGATGCTATTAAACCTCCACCTTTGTTTCTTTGAGTAGCTATGGTGATTGAGTAGAATGGCTCAGTAGGTTATTGCTCAATTCGGAGTGCCGATGCTGACGTTCTACTCCTCGCAGGAGTAAACCTGTCCAAAAATCAGGGTGAAGCTGGCGACTCACCTGCCACTTACTTCTATCGCCAAGGGACTTCCTGACATATTTGTCCAGTGCGATAAGCCAGAGAAGAGAGTTTAACCAGCAATGGTGATCAAAAAAAAGGAATTTATAAAAATGAACGCAAAATTGTTCAACATTACCTAAGAAAATTTTAAGATTTAAGAAAAGATTTAAAATTTTAAGAAAATGAAATTTTCACAAAAACTGCTGAAAAAGCCTATATTGGTCTTTAGAAATTTAATTTATTTTTATATTATTTTTTTTTTTTTTTATGTTTTATGCTTGCATTATTATTTCAGTAAACTTTTGCAGAACTCGATCCAAGAATCATATGCAAATTTCGCAAGTAATTACTTCAAAAATGGAAATATCTGCGGAGGAGTGCGTTAATTTCCTGGCTTTAGGCGAGTTGCTGCGGCCTTTTCGTTTTCCCATATTGCCCATGCTGCAACTTCTTTGAGTCTCTCTAAATCCTTTGCAAGCGAGAAAAAGACTTCACATTACAGTTTGCATATTTATAATGGGGAAATTGATAAAAATAAATAAATAATAAAATAAAACCGAAAATCGAATTCGAAAATTCAGAGTTAGCAGTGGAATTATAAGATGTAAAATCACTTGAAGAAATGGCATCTTTAGTTAATCGCATAAATTTGAAGCTATCGCACTGAATGAAACCCTTTTAGTCGTAAAATTTTACAAAAAACTGACATTAATAAATGAATAACAGTAGAAATCTTTCCTCTCAACAATTTTTAATTCATTTATCGAACTATAGCAATAATTTCACTTTCAGCATTCATCGTTGAATTCTGTCCACCCGATCATCCATCCTTCCACCCATCCGATCATCCATCCTTCCACCCATCCATCCGTCCACGCGACCATTCATTCGTCCATTTATCAATTTATTTACTTAGCCAATTTTATAATATTTAAAAAAAATTCACTTCACTCATTTGTTCCTACATATTTGTCAACGAATATTGTTTTTTAGTGTAATAAAAAATATTATCGATTTTATTTAATTGAAAAATTTGAAAATATTCAGAAGAAATGAAAAATATGAAAAAAAGAAAATTATTTTTCGCTTCACAGTTTTTTGCTTCCTTATTAACTTATGATTAAAACAATATAAACGAACACAAAAGTAATTTACTCATTGGAAAGGCTTTAACTCTGATCGGCAAAAAATTTTTGATATAACAAAAGAATCGAAATTTCCCTCAAAAAATTAAAATGAAACACAAAATTTAAAAGAAAAGAATTTAATAAAAAGTAAGAAAGTTGTTAGCAGCGCGCGTCATTTCCGGTTAGATTGGCTCGGCTGCCAAAAAGTCACCTGGCGATGGAGGCGCAGCTAAACTGCCAGTACGACCGAATTTTTGGGGAAAATTTACCCCTACCGAGCGCGATGGAGTCGAACCTCTGATGGCAGACATGAGCGAATTTATAAGTGGAAAAGAAAGAAGCCAAAAAAATAGAGAAAAATCTCCTTGCAAATGAAAAGAATCGGTGGGTAAATGGTGAAAAATTGGTACATACAATTAATACAAATCGCTTACAATTGCTTTCAGTCGCAAGTAGCAAATAAATGAATCGGCAACATTATTGATTCCATATTTCCGACATATTTCAGGTCATTCTGTTTGCTTTCTGGCATAAAACCTATCAGATTATAAAAGTCAATAATAATGTTGTTTGTGGAAAGAAGCGCTGTTCGCAGATATCTTTTCATGCGTATGCTTGGCACATCTTTGGTTGAATTGGTTGCATCAGCGACGAAGTGGTGGACGTTCGGCATACGTTAGTCACATACGCAGAGCTTGAATGTGGGGAGAAGGGAGAATGAGCCTCCTCGCTAGAACAGCCAAAATCTCCAAAAGATTAGAAATTATGACTAAAAATTACAAACAAATATAATTTTCATGCTTATCTCGATTTAAATTAATCGAAACCTAGAAATTCAGAGAAATGGCATTCAGAAAAAAAGTCGTAAATTGCTCGCGTGAATGCATAAATTGATGATCGATGCGTTCAAGGTGATTCGAAATTCCATAAATAAATGCTAAAATCA